CTTTGTTTTTGAAAAAAAATCACCAAGGCTGCATTTATCTGATCAAAAATACAGTGAAAACAGTAACAGTTTACTAAAATTTAAAGAAATATATTTGTTTTATATTTTAATATATTAATTTATTCCTGTGATGTAAAGCTGCATTTTCAGTATCATTACTCCAAGACCTGTCTTAAAGGAGTAGTTCACTTTTTAAAAAAAAAAAAACTTTTGCTGATAATTTACTCACCCATGTCATCCAAGATGTCCATTTCATTCTTTCTTCAGTCGAAAAGACATTAAGGTTTTTGATGAAAACATTCCAGGATTTTTCTCCATATTATGCACTTCACTGGGAACCAAACGGTTCAAGGTCCAAAAGACAGTTTCAGTGCAAACTGCAAACTGTTCAAAGGGCTTTAAACGATTCCAGACGATGAATAAGGGTTGTTCTTTCGTTCATTTTGATGTAGGGTTTACGAGTTCGAACAGGAGAGTCACGAACGCGCATCACAGAACAGAGCAAGGCGACCATTTGAGCTTATAAAACTTAAACTTTGTTGTTGTTTTTTTAAATGACTAATGGTTTCGCTTGATAAGACCCTTATTCATCGTCTGAAATCGTTTAAAGCCCTTTGAACAGTTTGCAGGTTGTACTGAAAGTGTCTTTTGGACCTTGAACCTTTTTGGTTCCCATTGAAGTCTATTATATGGAGAAAAATCCTGGAATGTTTTCATCAAAAACCTTAATTTCTTTTCGACTGAAGAAAGAAAGACATGGACATCTTGGATGACGTGGGGTTGAGTAAATTATCAGCAAAAGTTTTTTTTTTAAAGTGAACTACTCCTTTAAGTGTCACATGATCCTTCGGAAATCACATGCCGATATTCTGGACAAGAAAAAAAATATTATTATCAAATGTTGAAAACAGTTGTGTTCATATTTTGGTGATACATGTTTTTTAGGATTTTTTGATTAATAGAAAGTTCAAAATACAGAATTTTTGCAATGTAAAACTCTTTTCTTTTTTACTTTTGATCAAATTCAATCCATCATTCCTGAATAAATATTAATTTCATTAAAAATAAAAAAATCTTATTGACAACAAACTTTTTGTTAGAAAAGTCTTCTGCATTTTAACGCAACTTTTAGCTCATTTTAGCGTAACTCCTGTGGCCGGTTGCATAAACTGCTGGAAGTTAGTCATCTAATTCTTTCTTCAAGACTGGTCATAACTTTTTTAATTCAGTTCCATAAAAAGGTAGATTGGTCTCACATTAGAATCTGAAAAGTAATACTGATTGCCCCTAACTAATTGCTAGTTAGCGACTATATTTAAGCAACTTGCCCCAGGACTTGTGCTTAGACTAGTTTTACAAGTTTTTCTTAACAATAATACTGATTAGTCATTAGCTACTGGTTATTCATTAACTTACCAACTTATTCAAAACATTTAACTGCTGCCCCATTCATTTTTGTAAATGGTGGCTCATCTTGTCCTATGGCTCATTTTACCCCTGGTCTTACAATGCAATAAAATATACCACCAAACATAGCAGGCAGAAACAAATTTGATGAAATCTGGTGTTAATTTTGCTCAATCAATTATAATCAACCATTTTTTAAATCAAAGAAGCTGGTAAAAATGATTTATGTCAAAAAACAGTCATTTAAAAGAACATATGTGCCATTGTAACTGGTTGTTTGGTTGCAATGCACTAGAATGTTGTTGCCTCACAGGGTCAAAATCCTTTCCAGAGTGTGTGTGTTTGTGTTAAAAAATAGTATTTTTCTGTGAGTGAGAAACCCCGGCCTAATTAAGACTTGTTTATGTAGGGAGCTACTCCAGAAAACTGAGGTTTATTTGTGTGAATGATTGACTGAAGGTGAAACTCAGGTGAGTGGTTTTTCCTCTGAGAATATAAAACAAACACAAAACTGAAGTTTAGAAAGATGCAGTGTGCATGCACAAGCTCCATCATTAAAAAGCACACACACACACACACACACACACACACTGGACTTGGACCCTCTTCTTCACAGCTGGTTTGGCAGTGTGTGAGTGTGTGTGCATACATTAGGTTGCCAGGTTTCACTGCAGTATTATCAGTGCCAACAGGTGTGAAGACGGGACAAGGATGCGTGTGCTTGCTTTGTACACTGACACGTATGTGTGTGTGTGTGTGTGTGTGGTTCATGCGCACCCTGCCTACATTATGGGTGAAAATGTCCCTTCAAAGATTGTAATATCTGAAATCCTTCACTTTCTGAGGACTTTCTGGGGTCCTTTTGAGGAAAACAGCTTATAAATCATAAAAAGTGATGTTTTTAGATGGGTTTATGGGTATGGTTAGGGTTAGAGGATATAATATACAGTTTCTATAGTATAAAAATGTATTTCTGTGGAAAGTCCCCATAAAACATTAAAAAACAGTGTGTGTGCGTGCGTACGTATGTGTATGCGTGTACACTCACGTCTATACACTAAACTTTTTTTTTTTCCGGCACACTACACATTGAGTGTATGTCTGGTTTTGAGAGGAAGGGAGTAAAACCACACAATGTCTGAAAGGGTAATCACTTAAAACTATTTACAAACACACCATTTCAGACAGGGAATATGAATCACTACAGTGAGTCAGTATAACGGATGACAAATGCATAAGTTTGTTTGTGTGTGAAGGAAGAGAGAGAGAGAGAGAGAGAGAGAGAGATCCCTTCTCATACAGTAGACTCTTTGTGTACAGGAGAAAAACAAAGTCGAAGTGAGTGAGGATCCTCTGTGCAAACACACAGTCAGCTGGACGGGACACAGTCTGCATAAAACAACACACACCTTCATTTTTGGACACATTCTTCTATATCCTTAAACATTCTCAGTTAAATCCTTATTGTATCCTGGTTTTTATACTTGGATAAATTTATCAAAATATCAGATGGGGGTTGGGGAATATTTATGGATCCAAACATTAGCTCTTTTCAGATTGATTCTTATGATATTTCTTCCCTAAAGTGTCACATGAGAAATAGTAAAGAGCAGAAGTACCAAATTTGTTATAATGATCGCAAGTCTCAAGCACACACCCACCCAATCCAACTCTATGGTTGCTCTATAGTAAGAAAATTACTTTTGTGCTAACAACAGATCTGTATTGATTACAATATTTTTTTTTTCCTTCAAAGTTCGCACAACTGTAAAGGTCTTCATGTGGTTTTCTGTTTGCATAAGACACCCTTCCTGTTTAAATAATTTTGATTCTTCAAATTGTTTGGCTGATATAACTCGATATATCTCTGATTATTGTCTCTCTTGACATTTTAAAGACACAGACCAAATTTAAGGGGTGCTATAACTAACATCCTTAAACTTTGCAGGTTTAATTAAAAATGTTGAAATTCACTAACAGTATATGACATTCGTATTCTGTTGTGCCATATTTTTCCTATTTCCGGCTATGAAATTTAAATTCATGCAGGCGCGTGTGAGAATGACAGAAAGAGTTCTGGGGCTCTGGGGAGTGTATTCTAACACTCAACACTTATGTGCCATGAAGGCACCTTTGTTTGGTAAAATCCCATTCAAACAATAAACGCTTTACTGTGATTCCTGGCAATTTGCCGAGTTAAAGTCAGAAAACTGCTGAACCATCAAAGCCTCAAACAGTTCTCTGGATGTGTTTCATGGTTGTGTACATGTACGTACGTGTATTTGTGCTTAAGCTAGTTATGCATCTTTCTTTCCCCAGAATCAACAGACGTCTGCGAATAACTCAAACAAACAGCATGTCTGCAAATTTCTGCCAAATTCTTCCCTTGTTTTCAGACAGTCTTATTGGCAGCACTGCTATCTTCTTTCTTTGTTTCTCTGTCAGATGTGTAGCTGTGTTTTTGAACGTTTGGAACTGATGCCTTGCAGAAGATTAGAAGTGCCCACCCTTACTCCACCCAGGCCTAAAATACAACTACACACTGCTTGGCCAGAGTTTTGAGACATGCTCCTTCACTCGAGAGACTTTTGCATATAGCTTCTAACCATGTACATATTTTCATCAGGGTGCCCTGACAACCGAATATTACACTATTTACTGTAAGAAAGCAGCAACACGTTGTGTGACACATGTTTCACATGATTTTTCTTTGGTGCACTTTTTTTTTTTACTGGATTTATTGCTATGTTTATAAAAATACGGAACATAGATATTGCATACTACTTAAAATTCAGAGCAATTAAAAGTTAATGAATGAGCAATTAAAAGTCACAATTCTCAAGTTTTATAGTTTGCCTAGGTATGAGTTACATAAATGCGTGTTGTGTGTGACACACTTTAGAAATACAATTACTTTTAGGCCTACTACATAAACAAAAATGCATTTTAGCACTTAAGTCAAGTAGTGACTGGTTAAACGGTAGTATGCATGACATGACATGCACTGTAACTGTACTTTGCTGCAGTTATGGTCAATCACTAATTATCAATTATCAAATGGCATATGTGGTATAAAGAAATGGCAGGCATCCTCTTCTGAAGTTGCGGTTTTCCCGGGACACTCCCTGTTTCATGAGGTGTGTCCCTGCAGCTGTTATAGGCTAACTGACTTAAAATGAAGTGTCCTCAATGTCTCTACCAGCTCGTGGGTTCCTAACAGAATTACATTAAGCCTACAGAGAAGGAAATCTGTGTCTCTGCCAAACTCCTGGTTACCCCATTTTTCAAAAGTGTGACACACTAATCAGTGACCAAATTAAGCACACAAATGTTCTTCAGAAATCACAGAGGTACATTTCACTCTTTAATTTAGCAGCAGAAATCAATTTAAAATAATTTTGAAATATGTACATTGATTTACACATTAATCTAAGAAAAAAATCTAAACGCTAAACTGTGTGTTAAAATGTAGGTCAGAACTGTCAAATGCAGCAGTGGCGCTGAGCGTTGCTCCCTCTACTGGCCGGCGTTGGTAATGACACAACTGGATTGGCTCCAGGCGCATAAGAGTGCGCGCGCCCTGCACGTTCACATATTGGCGCACCACTGCTGCCAGATTTACTTCTGCGCTTTCAGAAGAGCGAGAGACGGATAGAAGACACCGGCACTAATGAGCTGAGGGACTATTGTGAGACTTTAGAGATTTGTGGTATTATTTTCACACTTTTTGCAAGGCAGTCATCGCGTGTTGTGGATTTTACTTTTAAGATCATGAACTAAAGTGTTATGCGCTTAACACTTCATTGACGGATTTTTTTTTTAACCGGCGGGATTTCTTCAAAGGTAATAAAAACTCTTTAAGGCATATTTCCCTCTTCAGTCTAAATCTGTTATAGAGTAGCCTACATTAAGAGTGACTTCTGTTGGCCTTTTAATTAATTAAATACAAATACCCATTACTGGTCAATGTATTATCCTGTAATAATGCGCAGGTTTGGAAACTTATGCGACAGCTTTTCGAAACCTAGTGACCTGCCCACCTAGGCGACATTTTGGGCATCTTGTTCGCATTTGAACGTTCTGGTCGAGAATTTTATGGCCAAAAATACTTTGTAGGTGGGTTGCACACTAGGTTTTTAGACAATCATTATGTATTATAATTATTGTTTTGCATTGTTTTGTTTAGAATTTCAGCAATGTTTTGTAAAACAGGCAATCTCGTCATATTGGATATATCTCAGTAAACAAGGTTTTGTGTTTAGTTTATAATTTTGGTTTTTATTAAAGTTCAGGGCAAGTTGCCACATTATGTTGGTATAAATAGATTAGATTATACTAATATTATAAAATGCCAAAACAATAGTTTGAGTTACATTTTTGTTTCATGAATTTTGTTTCATACACTGTAAATCTGCTGTGAGAAGAGCCAAAGTTTTAATGTAACCTCATACACTGAGAAAAAAAATCACTGAAGTAAAAATGTTGACAACTAGCCACTTTCTCTCATTAATGTATATTGTAATACTTTTGTTTTAGGCATATTGGAACACTACGACTCCCTCTCTGGTTCTGATATGGGACTTTAGGTTATACCTCTGGTACCATCTTTCCTGGAGTGAATTCGGCTGATTTAAAAAAAAAAAAATTGCGCTCTTCCAGAAATGGTGGGGCATTTACATTTACAAGCTATGGATGAGAGTTTGAAAGGAAAGAACCGGGAGGGACTGCTCGATAGTCCGGATTCAGGACTCCCTCCAAGCCCCAGTCCGCCCTTCTACTCTCTGTCGCCAGGGATCCTTGAGTCGCGCACCGGCAGCTGTTCTACCCCGACTGAGCTGCACGGATACAGCAGAAAGGAGAGCCGGGAAGGCAAACTGGTATGCATTCATATAATGAAGCCTCAGATCTTAAAGGGATAGTTCACCCAAAAATGAAAATATGTATGAATTTCATATTCTGAACGCAAAAGAAGATATTTTGAAGAATTTTTTGGGTGAACTATCCCTTAAAAGGAGACCCAACATCCCTTGTTGTCAGTGGAACAATTTCCCTATCAACCAATCAGTGAACTGATTTTAGGGGTAGGGTGTTTGTTGTCCAGGAAAAAACATATTGTGCCCTACTTACAGTAGGTCAGTCAAATTGTGCAGTATTCAGACATGTGCATGAGGACTGTAGAGTGTAAGTTTCAAACAGACAGGTCAGATCTAAAAGGGGGTACAATAATGAAATGGATAAAGGACTTTTAACTCTAGAAACAGTACCCTGGGTCAATCTAAACCAGGCACCAGAGGATGGACATCCCTTTGCCCCCCTCCATACTGAGCCAAATTCCACCTGCAGTCAACCCCACACCGAACAAATAATGTATGTCGCTGTCCCCCATGAGAAATATTAATGCCCCCTCCCCCAGGTCATGTGTCCTACCGCCGGGCCTGCTCTAAACTCCAGGAAAGCAGAATCCTGGGTTATCTTGGTTCACATTTCACACTGCTCATACTTAACCCAGGGTTAACAATTAATCTTGGAAATTCATGCGTTTCGCTCTGTACATATTTGTGGTGTCAGTGTCACTGATTGGACGAATGCAAAAAAAAAAGCTATAACATTGCGTATCCTTGTATTATATTTTGCTTATACAACACACTGTTGATGCATCCAAAAACGAATACTTCCCTTCTAAATAGCTTGTAAAAAATAGTATACCAGCAGAGTAGTATGTCCAAATACATAGTATTCGAAAAACAATAGGCTAAAAGTCCCCGGATGACCTATTACTTCCGGCAAGATTTTGAAGTGCATTCGATGGACACTTTACTATCCCATGAGGCCATAGTTGAGGATTTATGAATAGTAGAGGATTTATGAGGTCAAGCGATTGACGAATTGACGATGGTAGGTCACATGATAATGACAACAATGGTGGATGTAGTACTTCAAGATTCCATTCATACTACACACACTCGTATTATAACATACTTTGTGAAGTTCAGTACAAGATTTCGGATGCACCTTTCCAAAGCACGTGAATATGTGGCATGCGATTGGCTGTCTGTTGCTGAGCATCTAGTTTTAACATTCTAACACCACATCATTTCACACCGCACTAGTTAGGCACAGCAAAAGCTGTCTTAACCCTGCTTCTAAAGTGTAAAATATTCCATAACCCGTGGTTAAAAGTGAGGTTTAGAATGACAATAACCCAGGGTTAAGCACAGTGTGAAAAGCATGATCGACCATGTTTCTGTTACAAGAACTTTTCATTGACTAATTTCACACAGCAGAATATGTTTGAGTGCATTGTTCAGTATAGTACACACACACTGTTAGAATCGTGACATCTGCACTCTATAAGTGAACTGACGACGTTATAGTAATTTTTACCTTTATAGATTTCATTTGTGCTTCTGGAGATTTGAGTCTTCCATCAGTTTTTTGCTTTAACGGATAAACTTGCACTTGCACAAAACGAGAAAATGACTTGTTGGTTCTATGCATCAGTTGTTGATTGGATGGCAGCAGATTAGAAATGCAAGATTGAGTTTGATTTTAAGAAAGCAACAGTGTTTAAGTGGACTAAACAATTGAAAAAGTCTAGCATACGTAACCAGGAAGTATAATTTTCCTGGAAAATCTAGTTATGAGAGTTTAATAAAAGATTACAAGGTTAAATTAAAGCTGCAAGCAGCATTTATCGGGGTTCAAGCAGTTAAGGCCTTTAAGCACAAAAGCATCGAACGGGATTCAGTTTTATTTAACATACATGTATCCACTGACATAACAAATGGAAAACACCATTTACAGCCAATACAGGCAATTTACCATTGGAAATACATGGTTTTAAAGCTTTTGGGTGCATTTTGTCACACCCCTTTTGTAAATGACCCTATTATAGCAAAACAAATGACAAAGTTCAACTTTTTTTGATTGATCTAGAGAGTCCAGAGAATTGTCCTAGACTGGTCTGGTTCCGATCGGGACTAGTTCGCAAAAGTAGGTTTTTAACATATTTGTGAATATTTAACGAACAATTTGATTGACAGCAATTGTTCAACATGTGCATGGATGATCATTCACAGTAACAAAATAGATAGGGTGAATTTTAATTTCATGCTTACTTTAAAGTCATATCGGTTGTGGCAGGACTGTCTGTGGTTATGGGAGTTGCCATTTTTTATATTTGCCAAAGTCATTGTCACTATGGATACAGATTATATTTACAAATTGTAAAGGGGTTTAACTTCAGTTACTCATTCGTGCTGACAATATTCAAGCTGATTCTGTTTACAGGACAATATGAAAGTCACATGCGAGCAACCGGTGGTTAAATGAATTCAATCCAAAACAACATGTTAGAATATAGAAGCATAGATTTGCAGTTTGTCATAAACACAAACAGATGCTGTTGACAATGTGAAGGCCAGGAACAAATAATGAGAAGAGATAGAGAAGAATCCTGAAATAGAAAGGGGTTCAGGTGCTCATTCCTCCGGAGACACTCTAATGAAGAGAGGATGACAAGGAGAGAGAGAGTTTCTGTAAACAAGTTGACCTTGTGTTTTGTGAATGTGGTAACTGTAACCGATCTCTATCTGTCCCTCCTTCCTCATAGCAACCCTTTTACACAACATACGCATGTGCTAACAAACAAGCAATGCCGACACACACACACACACACACACACACATATATATCATACTGGTACAGTATTACTCGACAGCGCATGTTCACGTTACAGTATACCGCTGCACAAGTGCCTCGGCATAACCCAGAGTCTTATTTCTGCCTCTGAAAGGTTAAACTAACAGTGTCCACATTTGATCCATTCAATTGTAAGTGCCTTTTCATACTGAACTAAGGCTACTTTACCCTAATGAAAACCTCCTAGTGTCAAAGTATGTCAGAGTAACCACACAACTAAAAGATTAAGATAGCGTAGAAAAAAAAATCCTCTTCCAACATTTCATAGTGGATGCATCTTCTAGGGCAGGAAATGAAGCTTTCCCTGAGGAAACACAGCTCAGTTCATCACAAGCCACCTCTGTGTGTTGAAGCACTAACAAAACAACAACTTTTATTAAACAGAGACCCGCACGAGAGGCCTGAACTGATGTGCCGCACGCCTGTTAATGCGATTGAGTTGCAAAATGCTTTGCCCGAGCATGCCGCTAAGAGCAACTATCTAAAGGCACTTTGGAAAGTATAAATGATCACTCAGACACTCCTTGAGAAACGTGCTTGCACTTGTTGGATAATACAGTGCAATACAGTGTCTCGCTCTGTAAAATAGAAAGGAGCATGACTTTTTTTTTTACACTTTGGAAAGCTCTTTCATGCCAGCGTCAACAAAACTCTGGAAGTTCTTTTGAATATGCTGTTTCCAAAATCCTATTACTTGAATGTATACAAATGTGGTCAAGCCTGCAGGCAACATGCATTATATGAGGACCAAATGCTCTCGCAGAGTAGAAAAGAAAACGGAGGCAGACAAAGCATTCATTGTTTGCCACACTTTGCATTTTCCATTCATGGCAACCTTGTTTTGTGGCGGTATCTATCCCAGCATGAATATACAGTATGCTATATGCTGTACGCATGCTTGCATGTCGTTTTGTGGCTGTGGGTCTATTTTAAGAGTTGTGTTTGTATGACGTAAAAAAAAAAAATCTCTCTAATCTATTTTAGTGTGGCAGGCCTAACAGCGGAGTTGTTGCAGTCAGTTACATAAGAAACCGATGACCTCTGTATGCTGAAAGTGAAGGCTGCATTGGCACCTCTGACACGGTCTAATGCTTTATTAGAGTACGGATGTGTGATATACTATGAGTAACATATCCGCTGGAATTGGAGATTTTCTTTCATTGATTGATTTCAATTAATTGTGCATGCTAATTTCCTCTATTTTTACATTTAGACCACCCTTGCCATCCTCTAACACTCACTAAAAGTTATACATGTATTAACAATACTAATAATTTCAAAATTATCATTTTTTATACAGTACATTTCAATGTTTTGATATCTAAATTCACTTGTAGCAGCTGAAATGTCAGAGTTTTTAATTTAATTAGACAAAATAGTACATCATTTTAACATTGTTAACATTAATGGTTATCTGTTTTATTCATAGAGGGTTACTATCGCAACTACTTATACTAGTAATAAGATGAACACAGTTAATGTAGCACTTTCAGTCAGCACTGCTATAAGTATAAATAAATCAATACAAAAATATACTTATACAGCATAATATACACCAGGAGCATAGTCCAGTTTCCTTCACCCTATAGATCAGTGAAACAAACAGAGCCATGACAAAGACAAACAGTATACCAAAACACTACTTAACACACCAAGCTGACGCCGACGAACTGGCACTGATGAAAGCCGACCGTGTTGTCGCCTCTCGTCGGGGTAAAAAGCTGCACTTGAGCACACCGAGAGAACTACAGGCGACTGTCAGCTATAATATGCGTTCTGCGCCTGCGTGTAATGAGCCAACTGTCTATTTCTGCAGATATATTAGTCTATATTCGTCATTCAAAAAGGAAAACCGACAGATACACACACCGTAAACAAAGCAGCGCGTGCTTACAGTTTTGAATATCAATCCTGCTAAACGCTTTCTTTATTCCGCTCATGTTAATATTCGCCAAGGAACACTTGGGTGAGATGACGTAACATAAGAACAGCCTTCTATCTTTACCGTTTTGACTTCTTTGCTTGCTGTTTTGCTTTTATTCTCGTGCACTGACTCTTTCACTAAGCTGAACAGCCAATCAGAGTTCTCTCTTTTCCCCAACGGCCAGACGCCGATTCAAAATGTCGAATCGGGCGAAACAAAGCCGACGAGGACTATTTTCAGCCGACGGCACGGAACCGTGCGGAACACACCGAGGAAACTTAGTGGGCCGACGCCCAAAAACTGCCCGTCGGCCGACCGTCGGCTTGGTATGTTCCGGGCTTAAGACTAAAAACACATGACACCAAAAGATCAATCAGTCAGTCCAGTGTGAAGTGGCATCTGTTCATGCCACTTTATGCCAAGATAGAGTTCAGAACAAGGATGAGTGCCCCTTAAACTGCAGGAGAGGGATGTTTATTATACAAGTGAAGCTCTGAGTAGGTATTATGGTCCTGTTTATCCCTGCTGGTAGATGCTGTAACGGCAGCATCTGTGGAGGAAAAAGGCATATTTCTCCATTGATTGCTAGAGCTGCGTTGCCAAATTTTGCATGGGACCTGTCAATTACAATTGTTTTTTATTATATTATATTAGTTATTTTGCCAGGGTCTGTTTTTGGAGGGCTCTGCACAGCATCAAATTGACTTTTTTGCATTTGACGTTACAGTTATAGTTCTTTATAGGGCTTGTTACCTGATATAATATAGATACCTGGGTTTCTACATGTGTTCTAGACGTCCTTGGATAAATTGATAGACCACCTGACACAATCAGTCTAAATAGCGATGCCACTAATGACAAACTCTCTTCAGCCTTCAAGCTTTGATTGAAAAGTGATCTGATACTGTACGGTTGATCCGCCACCAGACCTTTAACTGTTCTGTCCCTGCCGAGATCGGTCTCTCATGTGACTGTATGTGGGGTGGTGACATTGTGTAACACCACAGTGGACACCGTATCCGTCCTGGATTTAACACACGTTCCCTCTCTTGTACTCATATGGACACAGACACACATGCTCTTTCACTGGCCTGCATCCACGAGACAAAAGCATGATGCCAGAAACCTCTCATAAACAGCCTGTTAGAAAAAGGATTGTTTTTTAATTTTACTGCTCTTTATTGGCTTAAACTGACCAGACCACCCGCTGTCAAATTTAAAAATATACTTCAAAATGCAATGGATCACAGTATCATAAATGGATAAAATCACTTTTTCACTTTCCGATATGGCATTGCGTGTCTCTGGCCACAGAATAAAGCACAGTTTCCATATCAAGAGAAGAAAATTGTCACTTCATGGGAAATTGGCATAGAATATCTGTAATAAAAATGAATTTGCTGCAATCGGGATTCGGGCAAGCCACTGTGACTGTTTTTCCCTACATCATAAATGACTTGTGTCTCAGAGCGTGCAGGCGAAACGCAATAAAGGCTGTCATGTTAATGTGTGTTCGGATGCCTGGTGTTTGGGAACACAATCATGTGAGACGCTTCTGAGAGGGAATTAAAACAAGCTTTGGCTCAGGCTTTTCAGAATGAGTTAAACAACATCTGAGATGTTGTGCAAAGAAATTGGTCCGCTAGTCCAGTCATCCAATCACATCTGTTGAATCAAAGTCACATGAGGGTTTTTTTGTTGCTCATCGAGGGATTTATTCAATAAATATGTTTCCATCCATGAGCGGATCAATTTATTTATGCACATTTTAAGAATTTATGCACATTTTGTTCAGCGTTTTTTATGCGATATCCCAAAATGTGCATAAAAATAGGTGGATGGATACATATTTATAGAGAAATGCTAATTTTGTTCAACTGTGAATGTGCACTTCAACTGATTGATACAATATTATTAGAGAAAGAATTTAATGATATATGATTGTATCTTCACAGCGTTAGATTATTTTGCTTTGATACCCTCTCATGTGGACCATCATAATTCTTCTGCAGAAAATCTGCAGATTCATGTCATCTATTAGAATGTCAGACTATAAACGTGTCCTTGATTTTTTTGGATGTGCAAGTTAGAAAATGATCAACTTGACCTCAGGAAGAGTCCATGCTTCCCATGTCACGTCAGATGAAAGTTCGGTTGATGATACGCTGCTGAGGAATTCGGTTTTATGAGGTGTCAGAGACAGAGAGTGAGGAGAGCTTGTACGTGCTGGACGCCGAGGAAGGAGCTCAGCTGAGCGTGCACATGGTGTGTGTGTGTGTGTGTTGATGGCTGGAGCAGGTGGAGGCACAGACCACTGCGGCTCCACACACTGTCTCTGTTTGTCTGACCACCACACACACACATATATATATATATATATATATATATATATATATACATATGCAGACAAACACATGCACACAGACGGCACTACTCCTGAGCAACACAAACTACATTTTCATTACCTTATATCAAATATAATTATTCGATCAAACAACTTGAAGTAGGCCTACTAAAATGAAATATTACAAAATAAATATTACAAAAAATAGAAACGGTAACACTTTACTTGAAGGGGTGTGCATAAGACTAACATGACACCTACATAATAGTTTTAATAGTTTTACGCATGTTTGTGACAATGGTCATTAAGTGTCATTCGCTCTGTTATGACATTTTTAATGCAAATATGACATTGTCTGAGATGTCTTTGTTATGACACCTTGACATAAACCAATACATCATAACCTGTCAGTGTCTTTGTCATGACAACTTGACATTACTAGGACAACACAACCTGTCATAAACATGACATACCAGATTAATTATCAAACTTAAGAAACCACCTAGCTTTATTGGTTAACATTACATTAAACTATCAGGTGGTTGGTTTTGACATTGGCTGTCATGAAGCCATTAAAACTTTTTAATGACAAATTCAATTAGTAGCACTTTAGTTGAGGTCACGAAAAATATTCATGACACAGTCATAATGGCCTCATGACAGCCAACGTCAAAACCAACCACATGACAGATTAACTTAATTTTAAAGTTGTCAAGTTGTCATGACAAAGATATCTTCAACAATGTCATATTTGCATTCAAAATGTCATTATTGAGCAAAAGACACTTAATGACAGTCATAAACATGAAATAAAATTTCATATTCAAGACATATGTCATGTCATGGTTATGAAGGTGTCATGTCAGTCTTATGAACACCCCTTCAAGTAAAGTGTTACCATAGAAACTAACAAAAACACAACAAAATTACTTAAACTAAGAAAACTGAAAAATATACATTAGAAATGAATACGTTTTAACAATAGTATATTAAAAATACTAAAATAGCACAGCTTCAAAACTTACCAAACATAAAATGATTAACTAAACTTGGTTTATGTCCTGTTGTCATGTTTATGTCCTGTTCTTTGGACACTCATTTTGATATTCTGTTTTGTTTCCTTCAGTTTCTTTTCTCTGCTCTGTTTAGTTTACTTGGTTAGTTTGTTTCTATAGTAACATATTGGTTGCACCTGTGTCTAGTTTTGTTTCCTTTATTTTAATCTTAAAATATATTGCCCTGTGCTTTCATATGTGTTTGTCGGTTCTTGTCTTTTGGTTATAGTGTGTATGCTTTGTTATTCTCGTACGAATCTCCTGAGTATTCTCCTTGTTCATTAAAGTCTATGGGCCCTATTTTAACGATCTGAAACGCAAGTGTCAAAGCGCATGGCGCAAGTAACTTTGTGGCCGGGTCCCGGCGCTGTTGCTATTTTCCCGGCGCAAATCTAAAAGGGGTTGGTCTGAAGTAGCTTCATTATTCATAGGTGTGGTTTGAGAGTAACGTGAAATAGAGCGACATCCAACATAACCTTTAAGATCAGGTTGTGCACCCGCTACATTATGGCCAAGCATGCGCGCTTAAAATAGCATTATGAACAACGCGCAACACGCCACTGACCTTAGACCAGGTTTTTTCTGGTCAGTGGCGCAATTGTTTTCTGGAAGTGTAAAATAGCACCAGGGAATGTTTGCGCCGAAACACGCCTCCTTTTTGCGCCGATCCGCCCAGGGAGCGCAAGTTCATTCCCTAGTTTACCGACGTGCGTCTGTGGAGGGGAAAATCCCGCTTTGCGCGCGTGCAAAATAGGAATGAGACATACGTTAGTGTATAAAGTCATTTGCGCCAGGTGCAAGATAGGGCCCTATTTGTGTTTACTACCGGAGGCATGCTTGTTGAAAAGCCACACTACACATCCCAACTACCCTCACCAAAACTATACTGACTGCTCAAATCAGAATACAAATTCAAGCATTTCAATGTAAAATGTGCAAATATTTAGCCAGGATTTAACATCTATTATTATGGGTTGTAATGGAGGGTAGCTACATGGCTAACTTCTTCTTTTTTTTTTTTTCGGTGTAGCTGCCATACTTGCTCCTGAACTCTCAAGGTCCAGATGCGAGGTCACGCATGTACCCTGTGGTCTATGGAGAGAGCATTGAGGTCAACCCCAAACCAGAAAAAGAAATCAAGTGAGTAACGTTAAACAACCATTCCCTACTAATGTTTTTTGGGTGTGTGGTTCCAAACTTCAATTTCTATTTTTTCTCAGCTTCAATAGAAGAACATCTGAGCAATTGTACAGTCACATGATCAACATCACACATTTTCTTACTAGTGTAGTGACCTAGAAATATTGCAAAATCTGAAATATTTCATCGTTTTGCTTCATGCAATTTCAAGGCTGGTCTCAGAATTTGAGCGATCAGTTGAGAAATGTTTGACAGCTGAATTGATGTCTGCTGATCCTCGGCAGGTTCAACTCTGCAGTGAAGTACGCTTCAGACAGACACTTTCGTGACCAGGTGTACTGCGCACAGGTGCAGACCGCCACATCCTTCAGCGAGACGGTGGTGGCCGTCCAGAACTGCACGTGGCGCAGCTACAAATCCGAGGTTCACTTCCAGCCACGGCACAGGCCGCTTCACTTCCAAAGCACGGCCATCGTGTTCCCCAAGCACGCCCGCAACACATACCGCACCACGCTCAACTACAACAGCAGCAGAAACACAGCCGGGCGACGGTGGTTTGTGTCCACAGTCAGGCTGGAGTCCACTGAGGACGCCAGTCCATGCATCATTTACACAGAAGACCTCTGAGAGACACATGAGAGGTTTGTTATCCTTCTCAACATGTCAACAACAACAACAAAAAAAAAAACTCCCTAGAGAGTGAGAGGACGTGGACTCGGTTACTAAAACCCTGATTCAAAGCGAATGGCAAGAGACTTTAAAGAAAGGAAACGAAGAGTCAGTGAGGGCCATTTTGTTGTTTTGCTTCCGGTGACATTGGTACTTGATAGTGGGGATGAGGTAGAGTTGTGTGTGTGTGTGTGTGTGTGTGTGTGTGTGTGCGTGCATTCTTTAGTGATATATTTATGTACATCTGATTCAAATCCAATTGTACCCGTCAGGTGGAGGGAAAAACGGGTTCTCTTGTTTGCCGATTCATTGGCTCACATGGAATCCGTGCCCGCAGAATTCCAATGAAAGATTGGCAGATTTACACGGAACGCAAAAGAATGTTATTTAAAAATCGAATCAAAATCTCTTTTATTCGTCAATGTGTCTGGTACTAGAATTTGGCTTGGTTACATTTTAGTGCCTCACATGCATAGTAACATGCATAGTTTGGCTATAGGTTTTATGCTACAGAATCTTAATGGGTTCTATCGGGCGCCTCATATATAGATCCTCTACATGAGATCATTTTATGCAAGTTTTAATTTTGTTTTCATTTTTATTTTAGTTTTCATTACAATAGCTCAATAAACAAACAATAAATTCTCCTTATAGGCATATATAATACCTTTTTGCGATAAAATTGAGGGTAAAACCTCTATATAGAACCTTAATGAACCAAGAGGGTATTAATAAAACTGTAAGACTTTCATCTATTGTATCATTTTAATAATGACTTAAAATGATGCAGATATTCCCCTAAAAATGAAAAGAACATGCAGGGCCGACTTTATCGTCTTACTCACTATTGCTGATTCGTACAAATGCTCAAACAGGAAATGCAAAAAACACAAAATGCAAAGATTATAAGCACATTATATGTGGATGAGAGAGACAGTGCTGACACTGACTATCACAGAACTGGCGGAGAAAATAGAAACTGTTTTTAAGTTGCACTTATGGAAAGTTGTTTTTTTTTCTTTTTCTTTTCTGTTGGCTGTAAATGTGTTGGTATGACTAATGGAGGAACACTTGAAAGGTTGGACCAAAGACTCTGTAAAAATTCTTTTTTTTTTTTCCTGTTAGTACCTCAAAAAACACGGAATCATTTCTTGCACAAACATTTAAGAAGCCGGCGACGTGCTAATAATTCAAGAGCAGCACTCAGAATGACAGGAAACAGAAGAGCGGATGAGGAAATAAGTGGACTGAGCATGTGTTATATGAGAGAGTTCGGCATGTTTTGATTCGAAAGGCCAAATGTTGTATTTGTGAATAGAGACAAAGTTCACTGACCTCCTGACATAGTCATGGTCTGAAGACTGCGGTTTCTGGCTTTCAGATTGTACGGTTGGATAACTTGGGTTTCAAAGGTATTGAGTTTTTTCTGACATTGTTGGTGCCTGTTAGTCTCAGCCAAAATCTAGATTGCACAACTGAGCTCCTGTCACCTGCATTTCATGTGGAGCAGAGAGGAAACATTCAGCTGTTGTTCTTTTAGGAGGATATGAGATATAACAGCAATAAGGTTTTGACCGAGCAGTAAAGCATTATGAAGGTGTAAGTACTTTATGTCCGGAACTATCCGGGTTTAGTTCTGTACAAGCTCAAATGGATGATCTCTTGCCTCGTTACATTTTTGGCGGGAAAACACTGAAAATGTGTTTTTTTTAAACAATGACTAAGTATGTTTTCGTCTGTAATGGTATGTGGATGTGTTTTGACAGTTCAAACCAAAAGAACCAAAGTTTAGTTCAACTAAGTGTAATACAGTATAATAGTAATACATTAACCAATCACTTCCTGTGTGTTAAGATGGTTCACCCATTTGATAACTTGATAATTGAGAAATTTTAACAATGTGTTAAAAGCAGATCTGATGTGGGATGTTTTCTATTTTCATGTGTATGATTTTTTTTTTTAAGAATACATTTGTTTGGTGTTCAAATGCTCTCTGCTAAAGGATGGATTGCTAACACAATAATTCGTGTTTCTGGTAAATATTTTCCTGTTGTATATGTGGCATACAGCACTCGTAATTCTCTTTATATTTTTGTATAAATTCCCAAGTTAATGGTCTTCTTTTGGACAACGGATGAGAAAATAATTTAATAAAAAAAAAATGTATATCCAAACTGAAAAAATAAAAGACCCAAACCCTACAACGGCTGCATGCTTGTCTTCTTTTTGATGCCGCGATAAACTGTATGCAAGAATGAGCCTCTGTTTTCCATGTACATTATCACTAACACAGCAGTTTCCAACAAGGCCAAATACTTTCCATCTTAAGATGAAAAACCCTTCCGTGATTCTTCCATAAAACTGCCAGCCGTGAGAGAGGCATCGAGTCTCTTTGGAGCATATCATTGTAATCCATACATTTAAATTTGCTTTAGGCTAGATCAGATTTCGTTAAAGCAACCAACATTATTATAAGGTAAGCACATGATACAGCTACATACCTCACACTAAACACATTTACAGTAAATGCAAAAATATTACTTTTTTTATATATATATATATTTTTATTTCAAAGTGTCGGAATTATTGTGTTTTAGTTATATTTAGTGTCAATTTCTCTCATGTATGTTTTCTACATGCTTTAATATACAATTATGTGACCTGGTTTATTTTCCTGACATACTTATATATATATATATATATATATATTTAGTGTCAATTTCTCTCATGTATGTTTTCTACCTGCTTTAATATACAATTATGTGACCTGGTTTATTTTCCTGACATACTTATATATATGTAGCATTTGGATACCAATTAAATTTATTACCCATTTTATTATTGCTTTTAAGCATACAACAATGGTTCATGTTTTTACTGTTCTGTGAACAGTAAGTTACATAAACACAAAACCTACCAAGTAGGCTGCTAAAACAGACATTTCCCATTAACGCCGTCGCCGAGAAGAAGAGTCAACCAATCAAAATGATGTGTTTTACAAGGCTTACAGCTAATTTCCCTTCTAATGCAGTATAACATATGCATTGTTTGGACCATAATATATTACTTTATTTTCATTGAGCTTCATCATAATGCAAAAAAACTTTAAACACAATTAAAGAAATATGAGACTTCACAGTGTGTGACTCTCCTACAACTGAGCAATGTTGACAATAATTCCTCTTTAGTTGCTTTTCATTATTTCAACAGAATTAAACTTTACTTGTCTGTTAAATGTCTATTGTCATAATTAAGAGCTGCAGCTTTAACCGTAGACTGGCTTTAACCTGTGGTCATATGAAAGTGAGCAGCGCCCTCTCGTGGTCAACAATGGTCCTGTTGGACACAAAATACGTGTGATTGGACTGCAAAGAACACATGTTTGTTGCCCTAAAGTTTGTTTGAGAACCCGAATGTATGAGAAAACTGTTGTCAGAATTCATTGGTGATTTCAAATATGAAATGTAATAGTAAGCTTGGTGAACAGCTGTGGAGAATTTGATGTTTCCCCATTCAAAGATTAGCTGTGTTTGCATGATTAAAATAGTTGCACGAGAGCATAGACAGTAAAAGAAAGCACGAGAGGCGTTTCAAAGATGGCCGCAGATTGAAGTAACACTTTGGTTAAAAGGGATTGTTCACTTTGAAATTAATTTTTGATATGTTTTAGCTTACCTCAAAGGCATCCAAGATGTAGGTGTCTTTGCTTCCACAGTAGGCCTATTTCCTGTTATGGTTTAAGGATGCTCGATAACTTCCGCCGATCGAGTCCAATACAATACCGAGAATTTATAGTAGTGATTTTTTTATACTCCATGGTTACACTAAAGAAACGTTAGTCACAAAAACAGACACACCTCGTTGTAATGCTTCTTTAAAAAAAATATATTAAATAAACATAACTATAAATAAAATTACATCTAAACTTATAAAAGTTTCGTTTCAAAGATGGGAGGACAGTAAATTTTGAAGACTCTGCCATAATCCCGTTTTCCCCAGTTTTCTTCCGCTTTAATCTCCCTAACCGGAAACTGACGAGCATCCTTGCGTCAAATGTGGAACTTATGCGTGCATATAGCCCATATTTACACGGAGATTTCGGAAGTTTTACCTTTTACTAAACATATTTAGATATACCAAAATCGTCTTCCATTGCGATTTCCCGTATCTAAATATGTTTAGTGAAAGGTAAAACTTCCGAAATCTCTATAAACAAAGAGTGAGTAGGCGCGCAAGCGTTCACTTCCGACAAGGCGGTGATTACACGAGGTAAAAATGACATACTGTTCGTTTTCTCACACAAACCACTCGTTTTGTTTCTTAGGCCATCAGTGTGTACTTACATTTACGAGTCATTCAATCATGTTTAATTTTGACTTCTCTGTGCATGCTCTTTGAGGTGAACCCAGGGTGGACCCCCTTAACCTCCAGTGTCTGAGACCAATGACTGATAGACAACAACGGTTTGACCGAAAAATATCAAAATTGAAAATAGCCTACGGTGGAAATAAAGACACCTAAAACTTGGATGCCCTTGAGGTAAGCTAAAACATATCAAAAATTAATTTCAAAGTGAACTATCCCTTTAAAGCGTCTATGGGTTTTAGTCCCCATGAAATCCAATTAGATTCTTTTTTATTGCAATTTAATAGTTTTTAATAAAAAAAAAAAAAAAAAAAAAATGACTCATATAAAATGATTTTGGTCATATCACCCACCCATCCCAATCTGTTCATAATTGTGAAATCAATAATTTGATCATGTTTACATTATATATATATATATATATATATATATATATATATATATAAGGGAGGGAATGGTCAAAAAACAATGGATTTGAAGTTCTTTAATATTGTTCAATTACTTTTAGGGTTTTAGTTTTTTCCATGATATCGATTCATTATCGGAGTCATAATTTTGGTATCGTGACAACACTAGTTTGTACTGGACTTTTTAAAAGTTACGGTCAACTGCCTAAGAAGGGTTCAAAACCTGTCTAAATATGTTTACCTTGGTCCATTTATGTACATAATAGAGTATAATTATTATTATACGTAAGATATGTCAACATTCGAACCGCTATATTCAATATATTTAATTTGTATCATATACAGTATATTATTTGATTGAGTTAACCCAATACTTAGATTGAAAAGTGTAATCCAGCAATGTCTTTAAAAAAAAATCCTGTTGTCCCAAGCGCACAATGAATTTTGGGATAGGCTCTATTTGTGAAGGATCCATCCTTTCATTGCCTTCAAAACGAAGAATGTGTTTTGAGGCCATGTTTGAAGGAGCCGATCGTCACGCCTCGGAGACGCAATAGGCCTTCGAAGGATGCAGCCACTGTATTGGGACTGACGCAGCAGCTATTCCGTAGACTTGCTCCCTCTGTCAAAAACGAGGGGTCGAAGGTTGGTCCAAATAAACTTCCCTTGTCCTCTTGACAAAGTTGCACACGCGGAGATTCCCCAGAGTTGACGTGCTTGGGGAAGTTCACAAGTTTATGTCTAAAAGTGGAGTTAAACGCAGCCTAGTAATCTTGAAGAAACTGATTATCTTCTTTGGGCGTGTTTGATAATGGTTGGAGCTAAACTCTGCAGGACTGTGGCCCTCCAGGACCAATGTTGCCCATCCTGTAACAGTAACTTACCCTTGCTTCATTTAGTATACGTGGATCAATTCTAATGCAAATTGTTCCGTCTCCACTCAATCACAACAACTCTGTCAACCTGATCCACTAGCATTGTAGTAAATGCTACACAGTGCCATGAGAAAATATTAGTTTTATTCAGCCATATATGTTTGACCAGAAACTGATTCAGAAGTGGACGTGAATTATACAGGCTTGTACAAGTCTATGTATCAGAATGATAATGTATTTTATGTGTATGCCTGTATGTCGACGACATTAAATGTCCGAGTGATTCTGTGTGTATGTACAAGCCGTTAAATGTCCAAGCGAAACGAAGCAAAATGTAGATCTACATCTGGGGAGTGATATTTTTTTCCTAGGATGGTAGGGGAAGACTCATAAACGGTATTAAAGGGTTAGTTCACCCAAAAATGAAAATTAAGTCATTAATTACTCACCCCCATGCTGTACCAACCCCGTAAGACCTTCGTTCGTCTTCGGAACACAAATGAAGATATTTTTGATTAAATTTGAGAGCTGTATAACTACCACATTGGCTCCTAAGGGACTGCCTCTTGACGGCCCAAAAAGTCAATGAAGAAAATGTTTAAATATCCCAAGTGACTACCGTGGCTCAACTATATGTTTATCAAGCGACGCGAATACTTTTTGTGCGAAAAAACAAACAAAAATAACGAGTTTATTCGACTATTTCTTTTCTTCCTTGTAGGCCAGAAACGAGACTTCCTTAGATTTCCACGACGCATGCGCGAGAATTGCGATCTGCTTACACTACTTCAGATCGCAATTCTCGCGCATGCGTCGTGGAAATCTAAGGAAGTCTCGTTTCTGGCCTACAAGGAAGAAAAGAAATAGTCGAATAAACTCGTTATTTTTGTTTGTTTTTTCAAACAAAAATAACGAGGACGGGGTTGGGGTAGATCATATATTTATACAGTAATGTAACGTTAAGTCAACGGCGTTCATAAACACACTGAAAAGCGATTATGCGTGTTGATAGCACGCCAAAGATGGAAATACGAATTGGCGTGCCATACATACACCAGTCTGAAATGACAAATAAACAAACTAGTACCAACAAATATAACATTTGCAATGTAAATTCACAGTAGCACAACACCACACACACAAAAAAAGACAGCAAACAAATCAATGGCAATAAGCTTTTTATTTAAACATTAAGGCAGTGTCTGTTTTTTTTTTTCCGGTTTAATTTTTACACTGCTATCCACAAAGCTTGCTGGTGGCCATGTTGAAATACAACAGTGTGAATATCAATCTTGCAGCAAATCACATAAATATGTACATCCTTTTAGGTCTATTTACACTCCTCGCTATAATACAGTGGGTCTTAATACAAAAAAAAAAAAAAAAGAAAAAAAAAAAGAAAAAAGGAATATGCACAAAATGGTTGTACAAAAACAGATGCCACCCAAATACCCACTTAACCTTTCAATTCTTAAGAGGGGCGATTACCGCTGTTTTCCCGTCTCACCCCTCTTCATTTGTTTTAATCTCTTGGCTTCGTTTACGTTTATCGGTTACAAATAAAACTCCGGCTCATCTAAGGAAAGTGCAATACTGCCCTTAGCAAAAGGTCAAACAAATGGTCAATATAGAGGGGGGAAGGGGCTCGCTATACAAGAAAACACTGAACTTTAGAGTGACTTGTCCACTAAATACAATACTGTCTGGAGTGATATGTCAGAGAATGAGTCTGAAGATCAGAGCATTCTGAGATGTGTGTGTGGATGTCGTGGTTAAAAAAAAAGAATAGCTACTGTTTGCAGACCTTGATGAGAGTGCATTTGGGATTGAAGTGACTGAAGATAAAGCTCATTTCACAAAACCACACTAGGTAGTGCACTAAAACTGTCCTTGCCCACCAAAGCAACAACAAAGGCCCCAAACCGGATAAAACCCACTGCTGAACTTTAAGTTTCATCTTGTAATTAGCTTCCAAAAAGATCCCCAAAGTCTGGAGGTTTCAACAGTTTAAACTGTTAAAGATACCTTTCATAGTAAAACCATGTGACAAATAAAAGTCAAACAATACGAATTAAAACATGTCTTATATCTAATATGCATGCAAAACAATTAGTAACCCCACCACTGAGGTGGTCCGAAAAAGAGGCGTTTTAGAGAGACTGACACAGTCAATGTCTCCTTCACGATTTTAAATTGTGCCTGTGTGACAAATTGTACAACCCTGGCATACCAAGGAGAAAACAATAAAAAAACCCAAAACTGGTGCGTAGTCACTTGGTAGTTTTTAACTTCAGAAATGTATGTCAAATACATGGCACTTAACACTAGAATTATCTTTAAAACTGTACAGAGTGAAGGACTACAGGTTATACGAGGCGTGGCGCCTGCTCACCTCTTAATTTCTATTACGCAGGATATATCATCGCCTCATATGAGCCCAAGGGGGAAAACAAACAATCCGAACCCTTCGTTCAAGCTCAAAGAGCGAAAGTAAAGCAGCTCTCGGTGAGTGTCGTGTCAAAGGACTGGCCAGACAGCATGGCTTTAACTCTTGAACAAATAGGTGACAAGAAAAACATCAGGTTTGTTAGGACATTCAGACCTGATAAAGCAGCTTCCTCTAAAGACGCGTCCCCTCGCTCAACTCTCCGCCAGTGATTGTCGCAAGAGAGTGGAACACTTGACAGGGTAAGGTGAAGAAACAAATCAACAAAACACAGTATAAGAAATTAACTCAATGAAAAAAAAGTTGCATTCAGGTCGGCATCTGTTGAAGGACACCAACAGGAACCGTTTGCTGACTAAGTGCTTAACTCATTACAAAAAAAAACATGCACATTAAAAACAACAATCCAAAATAAACTAGAAACGAAACATCTCCCATCAGCTATCACAGAAAAGAAAATTATTGGTCAGCTAGAGTTGTTTCTGAGTGTCAAAACTAAAGTAAAAAAAAATGAAGGTTTGATGTCAAAAAAATGAACATTATGTGTACCCTGTAAACCAATGATATGGTCACCCATGTAAACTCTCTGAAATAGCAAGGTAAGGACAGAATGTTACAGGATTTAGCACAGGAATCAGCTAACCTGCCTCTCTCAAGGTCTTTCATCACACACACACACACACACACAATCGGATGAACCATGTTTGCGACACATGAACACTCTCAGAAACCATAATGAACGGCTACAGACGACACATATGAGAACTGAGAGGACGTACGAGTGTTTCTGCAGAGGATTCATCCAGCCTTAGCAGTATGCCGCACACACACACACACACAAAACAAACAGTTTGCAGTATTACAGTATAAGAGTATGTGTCCTGAGCAGTCTAATGAGGAATGCTCCAAAATGTGTCAACAAAACAGACGAGTCCATGAGTCAACTCTGATAAGGCCAGCAACACTACACAAATAGAAGTGTATGTGTGTGTGTGTGTGTGTATATGTGTATATATACACATAAAAACTACAAAGTGATTTTTCCAGCAAGTAGTCCTGGAGTGACGGCATTCACAAACACACGGACACATCAACACACACGTTGAGTGCGTGCGCCAGGGCCTCTGCATGTATGAATGTGTGTGTGTAGGTATCAAGACGGCATGAGCGCAGATGGATGCATGTTCCCATAAGCGTGTCAGTATGGACATGAGTACGTGCGTGTTCACGAACATCCCTGTTTACAGTAACAAGTTTCTGTTCATAAAGCAGCAAACGTTCAGTCCTGTTGTACGCGGCTTGAGGTGTGTGTTCACTCGCTGTCTGACAGGGTCTCGTATTGAGAGCACAGCAGAGGTTTGGGTTCTTCCTCCCAGGTGCGGGGTTGAGTCTGGCCCTGTGTGGGCGCCGACGCACCTGGATGTGTGGGGGAAGGCGAGGGTGCCGACATGATCCCGCTGGGGAGACGCATCTGCATGGTCAGGGGATTACAGGGGAATGGAGTGGGGCCTGAGAGGAGGAAACAGAAAAAAACATCAGAAAAGTTTGGGGTTGGGTCTATTATGCTCACCAAGACTGCATTTGAGCAAAAATACAGTAAAAACAGCATTATTGTGTCCTTGCTAAATAAAAGAACGAATTTCTCTTTCCATCTCTCTCAAAAAAATCTTACTGACCTAAAGTTTTGAATGATATTGTAGATTTGTAGATCTAAGTTTGCATTATAATTAACCAAAAAATATATAATTAGAAATACTAGTCCAAATGCATTCAGTTAATTTAGTTGGCAAGTGTTGCTAACATTTAATTAGCGTGTGTACCTGTAGATGAGGGCCGGTCCTCCCACACTCTGTTGGTGAGTGGGGTGTGACGGTTACAGTCTCCTTCAGAGTGGACAGAGGACACCGATGAAGGTCTCTCGCCTCCAGACAAACCAGGACCGGGAGACTTAGTCTTGCGACCGTTAGAGCGCCCCCCTTTGGATTTACCTGAATCCAAACACAGGGCACACATCAGACAAAAATATATATAGAGGATGTACTGTATATTAAATTCACTTTAATAATTCACCCCGACACTGACAAGTTTTTCCGGCAATCCATGTTTTCATTGTTATATGGTAGGGGGATACTATTATGGATGTTCTTAAATAGTAAAGCACCTCCTGATCTATAAACAAGCAAAGCAGCAGCAGGAACAAAAGATAGCATTGCTTACACACCCAACAAGATCAATCATAAAACATTCAACAGCTTATAAATCAAAAATGCTTAAAACGTTACTGAATGAAATGTCGACCCAAGAAGATCTATAGGACTGTTCAATCGTTGGGGGTGTTGATTGAAGCAATGTTTTGATGTTTGTGTTCATCATCATTCTGAATTTGATCCGTTTGAATTCTGTGATTTTCTCAGCTTTTTGTTAAACTTGCCCACATTCATGGCATATTATATATAAAGAATACATAAAGCTAGAATAAAATGTTTTTTTTTTTTTTTTAAAGAAGAGGCTCTGTTCTTTCTTTTGATATATTCTATGTTCAGATATTTGTACAATAAAATATTATTGGCTATTTGTACATTAAAAAATTTTGCGGGCCGTGAAAATGATCAAATATGCTGTATACATTTGGGGGAAAAGATTTAAGATATCGGAATTGTGTTTCCCAAATAATTCTCAGCTGGTGGATTGTGAATCAATAGGACATCAGGGGGCGGGACAAAGGAAATGCACCTTATAAAGGAGAGACCATGCTTCTTTTGTTGTAGACATGGTCACATGGAACTATTTTGGAGCAAATTCCCTCGCTGTGTTATGGCTTTGCTATATGGGGATAAATGTGCTGGTTACGTTCGTGAGACAGCTGATTAGTACTCTTGTCATGGACCGTAAAACAGTACGTTACAGGAATCACCAACCCGTCGATCTTGGAAGCATTTTAAGTCGATCATGAACAGTTTTCAAAATCAGAGACGAAAAGCTTATTGTGTGTTTAGTAAATGGTGTCTAGGGGATGCTGAGGCGTGCGCGCTGTTAAAATTGCACCTTTGTGCTCATGCAGACACGTTGAGTTTAAACAAGGCTTTACGCTTTAACCAGTTCAGAAAAACTGAACCCTGTTAGAAAAAATATATATTTGCATAGTTTCATGTGGTTCTTCTCCCTCACTGTATTATGGGTTTGCTATGTGGGGAGAAATGTGCTGGTTACGTTTGTGAGACAACCGGCTGATTACTATTATTGGCTTTGTAAACTTTATCCATGATGTGGTTTATAATGGACTGTGGTACAGAAACTGTGACAATGTTACACACTCTTGGCTTACTCTGGCTATTCTCTGCTGTCTCAGACAACAATACGTTTGCCCCGTTTTAGCCACCGTAGCTTCTTAGAAACGGAGTGGTGAGCAGTGGGCTGAGCCCTTAGTGCAACTCACAACCGAACTGCTAGATGTTGCTAAAAATACACAATGCACCTTTAACAATATGCTGTTAATACTTTATTATCTTTCTTTGTGGAAACAAAGAAAGATAATAAAGCGTTCATTGCATTCTTTAAGATCACTAAATTTGAGGCTTCTGGTCATTCCTAAGATATCGAAGTACACTAAAGGAGGGAGAGCGTTCTCACATTTAGCTCCTAAACTCTGGAATAGCCTCCCTGATATTGTTCGAGGCTCTGACTCGCTGTCCCAGTTTAAAACTAGATTAAAGATGCATCTCTTTAGCCAAGCATTCACATAATGCTTACCTTTTATTCATTTGTTGAATCAGATCGAATGCAATAATATTATGAACAGCAGCTACGCTAATTATTTCCCTTTTGCTTTTCTGCTGGTAAATAGCGTTCGCCAGCTCCAGTTTGTATCTAGCCTCTCATGGAGACTTCAGATGCCCCAACACCTGCGATGAGACGACTAAACGCCTGTGAAAGGACGACTCGACGCCGGCGATATGTTATGCCCTAAATTAGTACATGACTAACTAAATGTATTTTTCCATGTACATTTCTGAAATGCACTTTCTGTAAAGATGTTTGAAACAATATGTATTGTGAAAAGCGCTATACAAATAAATTTGAATTGACTTGAAACATTTGGTCCAAAAACCTGCCACATGCTGCCATGAAGGTAGGTGAATTAGTAAGGGTTTATTTGGCACACCTGGCAGGGAGTAGGGGTCTTCAGAACGCCCATCCGCTGAAGCTGGTGGCACGGCAGCAGCTGGTACGCCAGCATTTATCGAGTTGACAGAGTTGGACGGCGAGCGATCGTCCATCTGTTCATCATATTTGCCCATGAGGGCTTTCCTGATGATGGCCTCCAGACCGATAGTATTACCACTGGCCTCTGGTGGTGGGTGACTACGCACGCTCACGGGTCCTAAAACCAGATGTTACAGTGGTTGTGTTAAAGGAACAGGACTGTGTGAAGTGCCAAGCTTTTCTTGAGACACACCAAAGCATTTTAAAAGGTACTGCTATTCTTTACAAAAAGACCACAACTGGCGGAGCTGCTCACCTGCATTCGTAGAGGCAGGCATGTTGAAGATTTCTGTCCCGGGTTGGCCCTGGTCTAAAACAGAGAAAGGAAGAGACAAGTTTGAGACCTTTTAGCTAGCAACAAAACATGCAAATCAATGCTAGTTATTTCAGTTAAAAAACAACAACAACAACAGTCACATAAACTTACTGAAATCAGCCTCTGCTCCAACCACCATCTTTTTAATCATTTCCTTCTTGCTCTTGACAATGGCAGAGTTGCTCTCAGTGAGTTTACTGAAGAAGGCTGGTGGTTGAGAGCTACTGGCAGGAGAGCGAGAGCCCATACTGGAGACACAAAAGTAGAGAACAATTAATGAAAACATAGTCCAAGTCATGAATGTTTTATCGTAACCCTCATCCTTCCCTCGCACTTTGTAACAAATCCCTTCCTGGGGTGAGGTTGGGCTGGGGAATTTGGGGGGTGTGCAAATTTAAAAAAAGGTCAATTGGTTTGAATCAATTGATTTGATTTCAAATCAAATGGAAATCAATTCCATTTATTCCAATGGGGGTCAAATTAAACAGCAAAGCAAGGAATTGTTACTTTTTTTATTTCAAACGCATAAACTCAAATCCAGTCACTTTTTTTTGTGTATTCCAAGTTCAACAAAAGTGCTTGCGTCTTGGACCACTGAACAATCGATGAACACTTTGAAGGAGACCTCGCCGTTGTCTACCAATTTTTTTTTTAGAAAAAATATTTACATGGGATTTGTTATTTTGTATTTGAGTGCACGAGGCCTTAAAGAAAGTTCAAACAGTATGGGAGCACTCATTTTAGCTATTAATGGAAACGTTTGTGTAAATGTATGAGTTGGTTTTATCTGTTCTATTTATCGATGTGTTTTAACGCTTGTTCTTAATCATTCTGAATGTTATCATTCTTAAGTTGTGATCTGTATTTTGTTGTGCTTATCTCTATTCTGCTCTTTTTCTGTTCTGTATTCTTGTTACTCTAACCTACTACTATTGTTTTTCATCAATGTCTACCCTATTGATGTTTCCCCTTCCTTGTTGGATGTACATTGTAAAGTGTTAATGAGCACTGGAAAGGTGCTGTATAAATAAAACATAGTATTATTATATCTTGTGTAGTTATTAATCATGGTGAAGCAGAGTTAATAAAAAAAAAAGGTCTGTTCATATTAGTAAGCGGAAAATGTGTGCCGTCACTAGAGGAAGTGAGGATTGGATGACGGATTATGGTTTGAGTAAATTTGAACAAGCCTATTGTTGCGCTGCTTGAGCACACTGACACTCTGGACGCAATAGTTTAAGAAGAGAGTTGTTACTGTTTTAGTATCCAACAGTTCTAGGTTTTAAACAGTTTATATTGATAACCTATTATATTTCTGATCTTAACCATATTTATTTGCACAACTGTTTTTAATAAACACCTTTTTGGATGCCAACATTGCTCCCGTGTTTATATCTCAGTGCAATTATCCTTGTGACCGCTCTGGTCTCAATCACAGATTCTGACTTCCGTCGCTATTGTGTGAATGCATTTGTATGTTACATACCCTTGCTCTGCTTGTTCATTGGGGTAGGCAGCTCCTGGCGTCTCCGGCTCTGAAACCCCGGGTGGTGAAACCGGTTCAATCCCATCAGCAGACAGACTCACTGGAGATGCCTTACTCTGAGGAGGAGACCTGTCCCTCCCTCTCTCCCTCTCCGCAGCAGTGCCTTCTGGGGTGTAGCGTGCGTTGGGATCGGTGGGTGTCTGGGCTTGGGGGGCGCTGGGTGGACGGGTGAGATCCAGCACAGGGGAGTTGTGATACCCATACAGAGGCTGCAGAGATGACTGACCTCCCATCTGGCCTTGTTGTGACTGGCGTGTGTAGTCTTTAGTGATCACCTCCTGTAAATAGAAAACATCAATTTGGTGATGATGATGATGATTCAGGGGACAAGGACACACATTTCTATTCAGAGGGACAACACTTGCTGATTAACAGGGTCAGAAAACAGGGTCAGAAATGAGCTTAAAGTTAATATTTGCCCTCTGGAATTTATTTCATTTTTAACCTTTGTAAGGACATTTTTTATAAATACCTTATTAATTCTATCTGTACTGACTTTTATATCAAATAATTAAATTGAACAAATTACTTCAATCATAATACTATAGACCGGATGCTTTCAACCTTTTGGAACTTAAGCCACCCCAAGCCGCCCCAATCATCTGCCTTGGTTTTCAAGGCAGTCAATTTTGAAAACCCGGCCTCACACAAATAGGTACCTTTATCTCTGGATGCAATTCGTAGACATAATATTAAACCCGGCTTGTGGAGAGACGGCAGGGTTTTTTAATGCAGAGGGTTTTTGTTTTTTATTTATTATATACATTCTACTTGAAAAGTACCCAACTTATGCCCTATTCGTTTTTGTTTTTTTAATTTCTGAACCTGGTTCTGACTCAGCAAAGAAATGTCTCAATCTGACAAGACACTTACGCTGATGTGCTGGGCGAGGGTGACCACTCTCTGAGAGCCTTTGACGGCAGAGGATGACTGCTGACCCGGAGAAAGTCTGTCCTCAGACCCGTACAGCTGTTCCATTGCCTTTTTGTGAGCTGCAGAGAGGATAGGGAAGCACACAAGTGGAGAAGGAGACATGAAAGTGTAGTTGAGTATGGTGTGGCAGAAGCTCTGGAGCACTCTGAGGGTAAGACGGGTGTAAAAGCGGTGCGTCACATACAGGCTCTGGGATTACTCAATGACTTGCTCACATGTGTGTTCAGAGATCAAGCCAACATTATTGAGGCATCTGACTGTAGCGAAGCTCTGTGCCGATTGAATGCTTAGAACAAAAATACAACGATAAAACACAAGCAAAATGTGTGTTTAAAATGAGCTGTGAAGGTAGGAGAGGTGAGGTGAATACATCTGCTTGATTACCAGAAGTCAGTCAAAGACATTTTCCTTTTTCCTACAGTTGTCTCCACACTAGGCAGACTTATCTTTACAAAAGAAAGATTGAGGTCTGATTCTGGTTCTGATTTCCCTTAATGATACTTATAGTAGTTTTGGGAACATCTACCAAGTATAAAGGGGTCCTAACTACATACTTAACACAAAATAAATTAAATCAATATTTAAATCAACAATGAATTTAATTCTAATGGATAAAAAAATCTTAATGGGTTTTAAGCACATCCAAGAACAACATCAGTTATTTAAATCACAAAAAAAAAAAAAAAAAAAATGATTTTGGAATTATTACACGGAATCAGAATCAGATAATTGGCAATTCTTTTAGTATTTTTGCAGAAATTACCTTTCATAAATATGATCCAAACTATACCGTTCAAAAGAGAACGCTCTTGCTGAAAACAGTTGTGCTTTTTTGATCAATTTAATGTATCCTTGCTGCATAAAAGTAAATCCAGAAGAAAAAAAAATCTCAACTAACCCCAAAATTTTGAACAGTGTGTACTTCAATCAGTAACCTGACTCATGAGTTCAATGCGTGAGAGTATTGAGGTTTAAAACTGAATCCTTAAAAAAAAGAAGGCCCATAAGAGTCATTTATATGTGAACTGAAGTTCCACATTCATTTCAGACAGCAAAGCTCACAAAGATTCTCCTGTAGATTCAGTTAAATGTATTTTAGTAACATGTTCTGCATGGCAAAAGAATGCAGATGTTCAACAACCATCTTGACCCTTTTTCGCTAAAACTTGTGTAATTGTTTGCTTCATGCAGCTATCAAACTGTCATAGTGCCAGGGTGCCCTCCCTCCAGAACAGGAAACGAAACAAGAAGCAAACACGAAGAGCTATGAGAAATGTTCCTCAAATTGAAGAAAAAAAAAAGAATGGGGGAACACAAGAGGCAAACCAATAAGGAAGTTATGAAACAATGAGCGACCACGTCACTGTTGAATGAATGAGCTCTTAAAGTTCACCTCAGGATCTCTCTCTGGTCTAGAAAAGCTTTTCTCCAGACACGTCATTCTGGACCGTTAGGGGATAGAGTGAATTATCAGTTCACTAAGTCATACGCCTGTGGCCGTTTCAGAACAGAAGCTCTAATCGTTTAATGAGTTTCAATATGTTAAACTCTGGAAGTTTGGACCGAAACGTGCAGAATCTCCCAAAATTATGTTTTGGCAAAAGGTCCAATGAGTTTAGGTGACACAAAATGGGGAGGAAAACCTTTGGTGGTCTTTAAGCAATGCTTCAGATGCCAAAAAAGATAAAAAGCAAAGAGTAGAAGCATATTCAAAGTAAACAATAATGAACCAAACCGAACAAATTATGTAAATTGGGTTGATTCTGATCAATGCCAACCACCACAAGCGTGCACTAGGCCACAGACGTAAGGGGGCGGGGATGGGGCAGGGGCACAGGAAGGGTAGAAGGGTAGAGGGATGGAAAGGCTTTGGGTGGATTGGTAGAGAACAGGAAGGATGGGAAGGGGAGGGAAAGTGGCGTTAACGGCCCAAAGGTCCCAGAGCGTCTTACCATCACAGGTGCCGTTGGTCGCGAGCGCACCAGTCTCTGGCATCGCCGCATCACAAGAAATTTGATGCATGATTATCGCGTTTATGAAGTTGGCCGCTGTCATGGTGGTCTTACCGAGTGCTCGAAGTTCGTGTTCCTGTATGGACATCACTTTGTTTTGAGTCTTATCCCTACTTGACGCGCTGCTGAGACCATCCCCGCCGCGGGACGGGATGGAACTGCCGCCGCTGTTGTTTTCGGGAGCCAGCAAGGGGTGCCCTCGACTCGTGGAGAGCCCGTGGTGGGAACCAGGGGCCTGGCTGTAGGAGTATGCCCCACCGGGACTAGCCAGCTTGGGGTCAGACTTGGATGAAAGGTCCTGATGTTTGGACAGTCCTCCTCGCCCATGGCTTTTGCCCCCATCTCTGCTCGAGTCTTTAGCGTTTGGGTCCGTACCAGATGGGTAACCCTCGCTGGGTAAACCAGACCTCTGGAGGTGCCCACTAAAGCCTTGGTAGCGAGCAGAACCTGGTTGCCTAAAGAAAGGTAAAGATAAACAAATTTAAGCCAGCTTCATCATGTTTATCTCGTTAGATTGACCATCTGCAGTATGAGGGATAGAGACGTACCGCAGCACAGAGGGACTGTTGTGCTCAGAGTTGGTAAGGTTCTTTGAGCTGGTGTTGTGCAGGACACTGGGTCTCTGCTGCAGGTTGTCCTGGGGACGGGGGGAGAGCGGGGACGACTGGTGACCAATGAATGGATGAGAAGGGGGACGAGAACTGCTGCTGCCACTGCCGCACATTTGTTCAGGTGCTCCTGTTTGGACACAATGTTTGGGCGTTTAGCAATAATGATCTGCATATTGACTACTGAGCACTAGCACACGGAACAACTCAATACTAATTAAATGATAACTACAGCTGTATATCATTTTGGGTTTTTTACCTTTTTACCTTTATTGAAAATATTTTTCGGGTACTTTAAATAAAGCTGAAATAAATTAATAATTATAAAATAATATTATGTAAATCAGCTGTAAATTAATTATAAAATCTTCCAAAAAAAATGTATTACAATTAATCCCATATAAAAAAATATTTTGAGAAAAGCCCCCAAATGTAGACAATAAAAAGATAAAAAAAAAAGCATTAAACATATTCCAGAAACTGGCTTTACAAATTCAAAATGAAGGCGGTGAGGGCGCCCACCTGGTCTCCATATAGGGGCGTGCTCCACGTTACCATGACCGAGGGACTTGTCTCTTTCTCTGTCCCGATCTTTCTCACGCTCTCTCTCTCGGTCTCGCTCCCTGTCCCTCTCTCGCTCTCTCTCTCGATCCCTCTCTCTTTCGCGCTCTCTTTCTCTCTCCCTCTCTCGTTCCCGCTCTCTCTCCGAAGACGTCAAACTGCCTTGCATCTTGCTCATGTGAGAGGCTCCCACTGTTAAGAGACAATAAAATTATGAAGTGAAGTAAATAGCGCTGTTTTTAAATCACCATGTGGTGTGTTTGAGTGAGTGCACTGCTCTCTACCTGGTGAGATGGGAGAGGTGTTGTAGGCTCCGCCGGGGAAACCAGGAGAGGATCCTGGGATGTATGGGAGACGATCCATGGGAGACGCAGATGTTCCTGCAAATACACAGTAAACAAAATGAACCGTGTCTCAGACAATCATACGTTAATATAACATGTAATATTTAATATGACTGCCCAAATGTACGTATCAGTGCCTATTTCTGTATTCAGCTAATCGAAAGCTTCCACCAGGTCACTAACTCCAAAAACTGAATACCCCATCGTTTACTAACTCTCATGTAATTCTCAGTGAATTAATTACTTAAATTGTGCTTTATTTCTTTAGAGGACAAAAGCTTTGGCTGCTTTGAGGACCCCTCACCTCTGGGTGTGGGTGAGTAGTTTAGGGACTGTTCTCGAGGGGTGAGGCCTCTGAGCAGGTCAGGTCTCTGGGCAGCCATGGCAGCAGCAGCGGGCCACTGGTGCATCTGCTGGGAGGTAATGTAGTCATTGAAGAGCGTTTGTCGGTTCTCCAAAGCTGCTGTTTCAGGAAAACCTCTGATCAGATAGGGTGGATAAGGGTGAGGGTAGCCAGGAGCGGGGGCCAGGTGACGGGGCAGGTAATACGCTGCAGTGGAGACAATAAACAGAAAGTCAAACAGAGACAATACATTACATAATATTAGTGTTGTCAATAGAAAATTTTTTTTGCAATTAATTGTGATTAGTCAAACATACCATTAAAGTTTTTAATATATTTTTATGTTGTAATACCTTCACATTTTATCTTCAAATGAATGTAGAAAAAACAAAGACAGTGGGCCTCATTTATGAAATAAACGTACGAAGGAAATTCGGGCGTATGGCCAAGTAAGGACCAAATTAGATCTCACGTCAGGTGTCGGCTCGTGTACGCAAGTTTTTAAGTTATTGTGAACTTGTGTGCAGCATAATAAGTCTGGTGGGCGATTGTAATGAGAGCATTTGTTCATTTAGATTTTCCAGGGCTTTAGCTTTATATAACAGCATAAACAACAGAACATTCCCAAACATCACGAACCTGCAGTGCTTCTGTAATCCGAGAAAAACAGAAATAGTAAAAGGAATACAATAAATAGGACTACACAAAATATTTCTCATTTAACAGATTAACAAAATAAAATATAATACTATGCGACAAGTGTAGCTATACGCTACACTTGTTTTTGTGACACTCTAAGGCATTGTATTTTTTTTATCTTTATTGAATTCCACTGATCGCGTAGGCACCTCACGTGCACACACAACATATCATATAGTCTAAAATTAATAACATGCTTCAGCCCTACATAATAGATGATATATTCAAATGAATGAATTATCAAATTTTCAGCAGCCATTCCTCCAGACTTTAGTGTCACATGATGTTTCAGAAATCATTCTAATACTAATTTGGTACTCAAGAAACATTTTTTTTAAATTATTAATATTAAAAACATTTGTGCTGCTTAAAGGTGGGGTATGTGATTTTCCTTTTTGACCATTTTTCTCAAAATCACTTGAAATCCTACTCCTAACCCGCTTACAGCCACTGAGTTAGAAGCACTGAATGAAAATGAAGCAATTTAATCATCTGTGGAAAGGGCAGGACTCGAAAAACTCAGCCAATCATTTCCAAGACCACCAAGAATCATTGGACATGACCTATCCAATGGCACTGCTGTTGATGACGTTGAGTCGATAAAACATAAAAAAAAAGACCTGCCCTCAGCACAACACACACTCCAACACAAACTCCACATAAATATATATAAAAAAAACCAAAATGTATCTGCTGAAGCTCATCAGGCCAAACATCAATCAGATCGACTTAGGACGAAAACACGGATCAACTTCGGCAAAAAAATTTGAATTATGGAAAGACCTCCGCTATTTTTAGTGTGATAAATTACAAGTTTTTAGATATGCTGAAATACATAATGGTAAACTGTAATGAAATAGCTAGGTAAACTACAACATATATGAAACAAAATGAATACATAAGACTGTTCGAGGATAACAAAAAGTAGGTGCTTTAGGATGTAACTTTAATTTTATGTACTAGATCTACCGTCACTCATCACACTACTCATATTGTTTATAATACATATTTCCAGACACGTTCAGTACAGTAATGTTACCGTTTTCGTTATCATATTATACATTCACTTATGTTGACATTGTTGATTGTGAAAGATACACGAATAGTTAGTGAGCCATTGGAACAAATGTACAAAAGTAGATTATCTTACACAATTATATGTACATTATATACACAAATGTAACATTATCATGGTACGAGCACGGAGCATTAGTTCAACGTCAATCTGATAGTCGCCTATTGCAACGTCGCAGTGGGAGTTTACATGAGTTTCCAGCATGTGGCCGTGTACCATGAGTGCTCGCTCGTGTTCAAGCACGCGCAAGAGGACGATCGCTCTTGTAAAAATTGGTTGCAATCTGAAACATCACCGATAGAGGCCGCTAAAAACTACATACAGCACCTTTACAAGCCTTTTAAAATTCCCTGTCATTTGTACTGCTAAACTGCAAATGTGTGCAATACCTGGGTCAATTGGGATGCCCCTGGGTAGAGTTGCAGGGTCAAATTGTAGAGGTATCTGGCCACGGTACATATCAGTTCCCAGCCCCTGCAGGATCCTCTCGTAGGCCAAAGACGCAGTGTGCTCACCCACCGTTAGTGGAGACTTAGTGGAGCTCATATCTCGAGGGGTGGGAGTAGACTTTCTCTCCTGCTGCTGGGCCTTATTAGAGCCTAAGACAGAGCAACACTTTTTAAAACCTCATAAACTCACACCATCTACTAAATGCCATTGACTGGTAGAAGATGATACCTTCATGTGCGCGCTGTGAGCTTTCTCTGCCGGACAGTGGAGAGGCTCTGTGTGAGGGTGGAGGATAGCCAGATCTTTTGTGATCTTCATAGCCCACTGGACTGTGGTGGGATCTGCTGCTTTGCTCTCCACTCATGGTCAGTGGAGAGGCACGGGACAGAGAGCTAGGGGTGCTAACCACAGCACTGGGTCGGGATTTGCTCCCCACCTCCTCATAGCGGGCCCTGTCAGACCCTCTGTGCTCAGGCCTGAGCTCTAGATGAGGGGGCAATCCGGAGTAAGGCCGAGGAGAGCTGGCGATGATGGAGCGCACGTCATGCCGCTTGGATGAGCCGACGGGCTCTTGTTTCAGAGGGGTGCCCTGTCGAAGACACATTCAGTGAGAAAATCTCAGTATTTAAAGCCTTGGCTTAACTTCATCAGTTGCCAAAGGCAATGCATCAATTACCAATACCAAGATACCAAAGCCAAACTTCTCAAATCAATCCAAGCCTATTATGAAAAGTGTAGCACTTTCAGAATTTTACCATATTTAAATTAATTTGTGAGATTTTCCACCGCAACAAGAAAAACATGTCAAAGTCAGAATTATAAGTCACCTGGGTGATTGAGCCCTCTTTGGGCTTGCCTATCACGACCCCCTCAGGAGGGATCAGGTGGATGGAGCGTCCTCCTTCTTTAACAGTGGGTACCATACTCTCATGAGAGCGTGACTTAAGAGAATCAGTGGGATGACCAGGCCCACGGGGTGATGGAGAACCCTCTCTTTTCATCAGTTTAACGTTTTGACGCTGACAGTCATCCCGCGGGATTCCTGAGAGAGAAAGAGAGAATTAAGACAATGACCATCTCAAGCTAAAGGTGGTCAGTCGAGGCTGTGACCTGTGTTTCATCACAGATCATGCTGACCTTGGGATATGGATCCACGGATGTGATGTAGATGAGGACTATCACGATCATGAGGCATTGCTCGACTGATCAAACCTGCAGCACAGAGAAAAAGCAGGTGAAGGAAAGTAAACTGGCAAAAAAGGAAACAGTTATGCTTAAGTTATGCTTACCTTCAGAGGCAGATAGTGAGTCTCTGATGGGTGGCACACGAGACATGCCAACATCCATCATCTCGTAGGACCTTTTCAGCCCACCCATATCCCCACGACTCTCTTCCTTAGAATTTGGACCCCCTGTGTGATCAAACACACACAATAGTTTGAAAGTAGTTCTGCCTTTATCATTGAAGTTATGAGCATTTACATGTTTGTGTACACTTACGGTCAAATGAAAGGATGTGTCCACTGATGCCCTCGTAGACTACGTGCCCCTTTGAAGGAGTGTCTTCTCTGCTTCTTTCTCTGCTGGGGCTGTCCTCGGTGATTAGACGGGTTATTGTGCCCTTATACAAAACATCTGCAGGAGTGCCCTAAAACAGATGAAAGAAAATGCACCATTAAAAGAAAGTTGTGATCATCTCGAGTTCTTGCAGGTTTGGATTGTATAACCAAGTGAGACAACTTCTTGAAAAAGATGGGACGGTTGCTGCTTGCTAATTTCTGCAATTATTTATTATTATAACAGGTTGATGTTTTTTTTTTTTTTATAAATACCAATAGGACGCGTATTTTATTTAAAAAAATGTTTTAGATATACGTATAATAAACACACTGCAATATTCCATAAAAAGTGTCCAATTATATTTCAGTGACTTTAATGCCCACATGGTGGGAGAACATCTGAAATCAACAATAAGCAAAAAAATATATATATATTTTAGAAGTACAGAAAGTCTTTTTAAAAAATAGGAAAACGTTTTTACTTTTGACATGCAATGATAAATTACTTACCATAAAATTATGGAAATTTACTAAGATAGCTACTGTGGTCAATTTATTTGATGTTGTCTTAAATGTATACATATATAACAAGCATAAATATCGTTGTTATTTGTACAGACAACGAGTACAAGACAACAATCCACATCAAGTCTGACCTGATTTGACCCTTGTGTTGTGAGATCAGAAAATTCAAAGCAGCAAGCAATTTTTGTCTCTGGCATTTCATAACAATTGTATTTTCAGGTTCCAATACTGAAAAAACGGATGCTAAAATGTGCTTCAAAAATAGGCTGGAAACTTTTCAAGTGTGTTGCAAGAAATCACAGCAGGACAAATTATTTTTAAAGGTTTGACATTTACTTGGAAGTCTGGATGATGTTTAAGCTTCATGCATTCTAGTTAAAAATACCATGTTTCAAACAGCTGCATATGACTAGTGCCCTTTATCAGGTAGACAATGGCTCCTTATCTTCTAATAAATCTGCCAATAACTCTTGCAAAATGTCAGAGATAAACACAGAGCTTATCTCTACACAGACTTACTTGACCCCGGTCTGATTAAACGCTCGCCCAACAACATTCTGATTTGCGTGAGCATGAAAAATGCGCCTCAGTAGGTCAGTTGGCACATTGAGTGTGTGTTTGAGTGGTCAGCGATGAGATGTGTAAACACATTAATAAGGGGAGAGAACAGAATTTGTACGCTGTGTACCTGTTGTTATGGCAACGGATTACCAGTTATGTCATAATATGGCGTGGTATGGCTGTGACGCAAACTGCCTGATTTATCTGAGCTGACTGCTCAACTGACTGCTAATGTGTGTAAAGTTGCACTCAATTGGTTGTAAATACATTGTTGATTAGTCAAAGAAATGTTGCAGCTTCAAAAACAGATTTCAGTGCCACCTCTCTTTGACAAAATGAACTGAAACGGCTTTTATAGGGAGGGAAGCTTCCTACCTGAGTGATAGAACCTCCTCGATATGATATGGGAGGCTCTTGGTGCACACGTGTGCCAGGGATGCCCTTTGTGATGCTGCCACCCTGAACAGCTGGCATGGGGCCTGTGAGAGAGAGAGAGTTAATACTGTTTTCAATCTATTTGTGGTATAAGCCTTATTTCTGCATTTTAATCTCTTTGAACCATGACTGAAACGAGATGAGGGATGATGATTTGTCCCAAACTCACCCCGTGATGCAGCACTGTCCTGTGTGGAGAGATTCTCAGCCTGAGAGGAGCTACGTGGAGACAACTGCTCTTGTTTAACGACTGGAAACCCTCCTAAGGAGACAGACGGAGACGTTGGATATGGAAAACGGATCGCTGACTTATGATTGCTGGCACTTATGACTCGCACTCACCCATTTTCCTCTGGTCCATCCAGGAGAGACCCATGGATCCTGGTGTTGGGATTTTCCCATGGTCCGAGCCATGAGATGGGTTGTGCAATTGCACTGGAGTACCCTGCAATACAAAACAACATTAACACCAGCATGTACCTATTAAAATGCTATTAAAACACTTTGAATGCACTATACATAATATTAATGATTGGTCCCAGTAATACCACATCAAAAGAACATTGCTACTGTGAGAGATTAAATGCTGCTCTTACCTGCGTGATAGAGCCGCCAGGTTTGGCAGAGGAAATGAGAGGAGGGGGTTCTGGGATATGTAGAGGCCGCACTGCAGCCATTCTCTCCTGTGGCTGTAGAGTGGGAGCCAATGCTGAAAGAGAGCGATTAAAAAAATAAATACAGTACTGAGCAAACGTTTTAGGCACATTAGTATTTTCACCCAAAAAAAAAAATGGTTTTCAGCCAGTTATTTATATCTTTTGCTGCAGTTTGTCTTAATTATATTAACAACTAATATTACATTTAAAAACATTTTTTTAAATATATTTTTCCGTTAATATCAGTTAATAAGACAAAATATTTATTTTATTATAGAATATTATCTAAAAATAAATAAATAAATAATATTTGCAGGACTTTAGACAGGGCAATATTGTCTTACAGGGATTGTAGTGTAGCAGCTGTTCATGGCTGAATTTGGCCATGTCTCTGGGCGAGAGCTGGTACGGTGACATCACTGGCCGGCCTAGACCAACTGCCCGAATGTCATCAGCCCCGGGAATCTTTTTACCGTCCGCAAGAGGAGAGAACGCCCGGGATTTATCTGCACACATGCACAAAAACGTACAAAGATGACTGTCAAACAGATGATTTCTAGATAGCAGTCTATGTCACTCTTTTTTGGCGAAGGTGAAAACAACAAAGCTCAAATCATCATCACAACCCCTGCATCAAAAGCAGCAATCTCCAGTGTGAAAAACACACAGATAGCAGTTATTCCACTCATCATAAGGCTCATCAACACTGTAAGCTGGAATCTGCGAGCGTAGCGGCATGCAAACACATCTGCGAATCATTCACACTCCCAGAAATCAACACAACGCTTGATTAGAGTCTGATCTAACAGTGTGTGAGTATGCGCGTGTGGTGTGTAAACCTACGTAATCCATGTAGCAGAGCCTGAAGCCATCTCTCGTTCCACTCCAGCTCTGCAGGGACAGACACACTGCAGCTCATCACATGGCCATGACCCAAGACTCTCTTTCTCTCCAAGTACTCAAAAGGAGCAGTTTTGTGACTTAACTTAGTGCCCATATTTAATCCCACCACAACCATCTTTGTGTAATGAAGTGAAATTTCCCTGTTGAGGACTCCTATTTATGGCGTGTAGTAGTGACTGAGATGAGATAATCTCACCCATTCCAGAAAAAAAGGACTTTCTCTCTCTGTTCTTATTCATTTAACTTATTTTAAAGGGCTAATCATTGACTAAAAATAGGCTTTCAATGACATTTTCATGCTACGGTCGGTCGATTTTTTTGTTTTTTTACTTTAAAAGAGGCCACAGAGTGATAGAAGAGACTAGCACAGCTATGGAAATCAGACTTTATTTGACAGCAGAATCCTGCAACTGATTTGTTAGACTCAAGTGAGCCAAAGAGCAGTGTAATAAAGTAATTCCTGATGGACATTATAAAAAATGTGAATAACTTCTCTTAGCTCATACTAATATGGTCACACATATATTGTACATCCCTAATTTTATGTGTACGGAGCGTAAAAACTAGCAAATGTTATTGTGAGGTTTAAATATTACAAAAACATTTTGGTTTTTAATTTCCGTTCAGTATCAATGGTTTCGTTTTAATGATTCATAAATAGTGCAAGTTCATTTAGATCTTACTAGAATTAGACTCTTTATGTCAGATTTTATTGAAACTAAACAAGATTTCCATTTGGATGTGGTCACATTCAAAAAAGGTGATGTTCTGTGTTCAATAGTGTAGCGATGTATGAAGCACAGCTCACACTTTTAAACCAAGCATTGTTTTTATGGTTAACGCAGCAAATCCAGGTGACTAACTTGAACCCATTAGATATAGCACTGATTCCCATTGAAACAGCTGTTTGCTTGTGAAAACTTGCCAAATAATGTTTAATGTGCACATCAGCCTGTTACTAAGGCAGTATTCATTTCAGAACTGCATGTGTCAGGTAACAAGGTGACCTGCTGTTGGTGGTTGTTCACTATCTGTCTGTCTAGGTGGTCGGGTCTTGACTGAATACACCACCTTTTTTTACTATATTTACAACCAACGCTCTTCACAGCACTCAAAAATACAACAACCATACCACTCACATGTGCACAGACACACACATCAGAACTTGATTAACAGGTGGGGTAGACACAACCGAGGAAAACAATGGTGGTTGTGGTTGATAAAGCTGAGGAGGGAAACGGATTGAAGGAACAGATAAAAGGATAATGTGGGATAAGGAACATGAGCAGCTTACCTTCTCTCTCTCTGTCAGAGACACCAGGGCTTCGAGTCCTGACCCGTGGGCTGCTCGAGTCACCGACCCCTGGATAATGCTGAGATTTGGTTGGCTGTGACTGCTGCTGCTGCTGCTTGGCCTCTTGGGAGGATTCATGTGCCATGGTAATCTGCTGCTGGTACAACGCAAGAGCATGGGGCATAGCCTGCTGCTTCCCTAGCAACCCAGGCCGGTTATCTCGTCCTGCTACCGACACCTCTGGCATCTACACACAAAGACAAAATGATTTTATATCTTACCATTACCTAAGACATGTACATGTTTTTAATCTACTTAAATGTGGCATATCATGGAAAACAAAATTAACAGGAAGAGGAGTCATTAAGAAAGACTGTAAAAGGGTGTGCAGGTTGGGGGAAAACGGACAATATTTCCCCCTTTAAATTGTTGGTAACACTTTATTTCAAGGTCACGTAGTTAGACTTTACTACACGTATTTACTATAGTAATAACAGTAAATTATACATAATTACAAGCAACTAACCCAAAACCCAACCATAACTCTATAGTATGTACATGTAGTTAATCAATATTACTCAGTACTTATTTGAGTAAGAATAAGTGTGAAAACTACACAATGAAACTACATCACCTAAAAATAAAGTTTTGTCTCTATGAATGGGTGATTAAATCATTAACTCACTCGATAAAAAAAAAAAAAATGCTAATGTAATGATTCTGCAGTGGCTTTGTTTGGAACTATTTTCGTTGGTGAAATAGAGCAAAAACGGATAATATTGCATCCAAAATGTAACTCGCACGTCAACTTGTTTATTGAACTGTTGTATTTAATCAATATTAGGGTTAGGGTTAGCAAACTTTTGATCATACAGGGGCATTCTTTATAATAGGCTACATCACACAGGAAAGTGTTCAGTATCAAGGTATGATATTGCTTTTTTCAAAGTGAGTGACATACTCGATAAGGTCAGCTTGCACATTGTTAAAACAGCAATTATGATATGTATTGTAAACAATACATATTGCATACCACTAATAACCACATCACTGTGTTTAGTAACAGAGTAGGTGGTGCTCACATGCAAAAAAAAACTGCTAGTCAATTATAACAGAGGTAATTTACATTAAATCTTAAACGGAAAGCAACAACCAAACCCATTTGAGCCATGTAGAAGTCAGGGGGGAAATACATCCCTTTAAAAATCCAGACTAATAAAGAAGAGGGAAAATACGAGTTCCTCTTAAGCCTAGTTCACACTACGTGATTTTAAGCCCGATTTAAGCCCGATTTGCAAATCGTTGAGTCGCCGACAAGTCAGGGTGTTATCGCGTGCAAATCGCGGGCGATTAGCGGACGATTAACGCTCGCCAATCCGATAGTGTGAAAGAGCCAACAACGCATCAAAGACAGCTCGCAGACACCTCGCAGACAGGTCACCGAGCTCAGAAAAATATCTAGCATGCTAGATATCTCGAGCAGTCGCGCGACTCAATCTCAGTGATGTCATGAGTACAGCCAATCATAGCAACGCATGGGTTGAGGACACCAGGTAAATCTTACTTTTTCTTTTTTGCATTTTTTTTTTCTCAGAGCATATCGTCGAGCAAACAGTGTGCAGCACTAGTTTCTGTCTGACGTCCATATTCGCGTGTTGTGTTCTTCTCTGCAGTTTCGCGTCATTTCTGGTTCGTTTTATTGCGTGGTTTTTCGTGACAAAACATGGTTTCTAGACCAGATATAATCGTGTTGTTGTCAACTCGTTATTTGTTTGATTATTTTCAGGATTTAGACCGTACTATAGTACTGAAACAGCTCTCATTGAGTCACAAATGATATGCTCTTATCATCCGATCGTGGTTGTATCTCTATGTAGTGCGTTGTTAACTCGTGTAGTGAGTTACCTCCTGTTGTGGATCAATCACGCTGTGTTGTGTGGTGTGAACAGCTAAACAACTTGAACACTCATGATTTCACTGAGAGCAAGTCATGTAGTGTAAACTGCACAGTTCAGCCCGACATTTTAAAATCATGTAGTGTGAACTAGGCTTTAAAACAGCACATATCAGTTTCCACACCCCTCCTCTCGCCAGATCTCAGACTGTTCAGTCTTCTGTAAACTCATCATGAGTGTCTGAATAGCTAAGAGCAGAGGTGGAAAACTAGCATCTCATAGGATTAAATACAGCCTTAGTAACCATGGCAACATGGAGAGAAGATGCTAATCTGTGTAATCTGGCCAGATATGGCTTGGGTTAACAAAAACCTTATGAAGTTCAAACCACAATTGACTGAACATGAATAACGGCAGGATGAAAAGCAGATGAATGTTGGCATACTCACAATGGGAGGTATGGCGGCCGCTCTCTGCTTGAGCGTTTTGAGGTCCAGTGGTTTCTGAACTGGAGAAGAGATCACTCCATCATGGGCGAAATTCAACAAACTCGGCCTAGGAGACGTCATTGTGTTGAGAGTGAGAAGTGATATTGCTTAATATGGTCAGAGCCTCATTTTCTCTTATTTACTGTCTTTGTAAACAGCCCATTAATGCCACAAAACCACAAACACTTAATCATCATCATCCCACCACACAAACAAATATAGACTTTCCACATGTAATCGTATGGAAATGTAAAATGCAAAATACACAAAAGATAGCCAGACACACACACACAGACAATTCTAGCTCTGTTATGTTTGGCAAGGGTAATGTTTCCCCTGACTCGGCCAACATATACTGTGTTTGGTGTCATGGAAAAAAATAAAGTCCTACAGGACGAATCAACAATCCCAGCCTCCTTAACCACAAAACACATCAGACCCCACCCAAGCAACCAATCAACTCTGACTGCCAAACACACACATGCACACTCTCACCTGTTCTTTTCTGAGCTCTCAGTCTCCTCCACCTCATCGGCGCTGCATGTGGCGCTGGAGTCGCTGTCGTGAGCTCCGCTCTTTCCTCCGTGCTCTTTCTTCTTGACCTCTTTCTTGCCTTCCTCCACCTCCAGGGCAGGAGGCTTCTTATCCTCTCCTGGCACCTCCTTACCACCCTCCCCTGGTTCAATCTTCACTTCTTGCTTCACTCCTACCTGCTCCCCTTCTCCCCTCTCCACTTTTGGCTTCTCATCCGGCCCCGTCTCCACAGCTGCCAAGTCCTTGTCCGTGGAGGATGAGGAGGAGGAAGTAGCGTTGGGTGCAGATTTGGGCCGTGCCGAGCCCTCTTCTTTGACCTTACTGTCATCGGAGGAGCGTGGGGAAGGGAGGCTCTCAGTGTCTGAGCTGTTATTGGCTCCACCTGAAAAAAAAAAGGTGATGGGGAAACGTTGTAAAAGGGCAGGACATGGATGGCAGATGATCTGTTGAGTGTGACTGCTTTAAAGTTGTTTCAGTTGATTTATCCATGTTAAATAATTTCCCCCTTGTCCTGGAATAAAGATTTCATTATGGGATTGATCAGCCTTTTTTGGTAAAATACACTACCATTCAAATGTTTGGGCTAGGTAAACATTTTAATGCTTAGTTACCCATGCAGCATTATTTGATTAAAAATACAAAAACAGTAATATTGAGAAATATTATTACAAATTAAAATAAGCTGAATTTTAATCCCATGTCACATGATCCCTCAGAAACCAGAATAATATGCTGATTTTGTTATTATCTATGTTGAAAAAAGTTGTGCTGAATATTTTTGTGGAAATCATGAAACATTTTTTCAGGATTCTTTGATAAATAGAACGTTCAAATTAACAGCATTTATTTTAAATAGCCTTTACTGTCACTTATGATCAATTTAATACATCCTTGCTGAATAAAAAAAATATTAAATTCTTCCAAACTGTCAATTAACTTAAAACTGTTCTCTATAATGATTAGCACGATGGAAATGACAACAGTATATAAATTGTTCAGATAAACACAAAATATCACTTAAAAATAAAATAATAATAATAATAAGGAGGTTAAAAAGTCCCAAATAACTAAACTCTGACCAATGAAACATTTAACAACATGAAACATTTTTAAAACCATCATTGGGCAAAAAAGATCCTAAATGAAAGAATCACTCTTATCTAAATCTAACATGTCCTTTGTCAAATCAAAAAGTAAACATAACTAGTAAATACACAGCAGGGGATTATGATAAGCCTCATTTTCCCACTGGCATAACAAACCCCAGCCGTTGAGTGTGCTCTCCCAGCTGGATGTAATTACACAATAACCATAACATAATAAGCACTTCCCTTGCTGGCTTTCTTTCACAAGCTTTGACCTGATAAATGTGGCTTTATGAAAGCTTACAAAAGCCATTTATCGGCAAGATTGCCAAACACACCGGACAAAGCACTCATTTCATAGCTGCCTGGCGGACTTGTGGAAGTACAGCTCCAAAACTACATCCACAGCACGACACACACTTTGACAGCAAGACAGTGATAACTACACCTCTAGTCACTTCACAAAATGCAGCTCCCCGGAAAAAGCAATCCATGTTTGTGCAGAGTGTCGCCTCTTTCTCAGAACTTGACAAAAGTAGGTCAGGGCTCTATCACGGATGAGGTCATAGGTGAGTCTCGGCCACGTGTTCCTGATATTCTGAGAAAAGCACGAGCTGCAGTGGGATTTCCTGGCAACCGCAAAACCTCAGAGGTGTTTCATTGTGACTCGTGATAAAAAAATTACTAAACTGCTAATTTGATTCTCAGATGTTAGCACTGAGCTTTAGCCTGGCTAACTCATTGAGACTTGGGTCTATGAACCACATGTTCATTTTCTCGTATTTGAGGCGTGGTTAATGAATGCCCAGAGACGTTTATTGGGTGCTAAGAATGTCTATCAAATGTGACTGTACAAAGCTCATAGCCAATCGTTTTAATTATACCAGATAACGTATGTAGAGCGACAGAAATTAAAGAAACAATGGGTCTGAGATTTAGATGGCGTGCATCTAACAGCCGTTTCCCACCGAGCGACCGAATCTGTTTTTGCTGCACTGTTCACGCTCAATTAAAATAAAAGCACACTTTTGATGGACAAAAAGAAATAGGATTTCACACAAAACAGAATAAGCATGTTTAGTGAGTTAACAAGAACTTGAGTATAGGCAAGCACAACCCAAATCAAACCTGACTGTGTGGTTTTTGTGTGTGTTTTGTTTTTCACGGAGTTGCAGTCTTATAAAATAATAGAAAGTATGACTGAAACTAATAGATTGGAGACATTTTCTGGGTTGTTTTGTTGTCTGACATGTATGCGAATGTTGTACACCTCCCCATAACAGACTATCAATGTTATAAATGACCAACTTCTAAAAACAAATGTATAGATGTCTTTGTAAAGAATTGCTCGCTTATGTAGCTTTGGAGCCGCTGCTGTGACACTGTACAAATTCTTCCAGTGTGAATACTCTCGTGCGTCCGCAGCTGCAGTGACGACGTAAGTTAGTTACGCAGACACGCTGTTCAAGTGCTGCTCACGCTTGCGTCGTCGAAAGGTAACTTCGCATCTGCTGCCATGTTGGATCCATAGGTATAAACAAACTGCTTTGGTGTGTCGCATAGACGTCGTCGTCGTTTTGCTTCTCCCTCCCCGTTTTGTGATTGGTTCCTGGAATCCAGACTGCCTAGCCGCGCGAATAAAATCGCGCTGCGGCAAGGCAGCAAGGGGAAACCCAGGCTAACTGAGCTTCATTACTTACATTAAACAGTCAATGATTAATGTGCAACAAATTACTGTGTTTGAATGGACATTAATCATTTTAAAAGTTACTGCATAATGTGGAGGTGTGAGTCAAGTATTTGTGCGTGTACGTACCCTCTCCATCCTCCTGAGCCTCTTCTTCATTGCCGCTGACTCCCGATCCCTCCATCTCCTCTTCCTCTGCAGCAGATGGAGCGCTGGCCTCCTCGTTCTGAAGAGCTTTACCTTTACGCCTGGCTTTACGCTCTCTCTCCTACAAAAAAAAAAAAAAAAAACACAACATGAAACCAATACTACTGACAATTATAAATAATAAATCCCATGATCTCTAGGAAACGTGTCTGTAAAAGAAACTGACCGATTTTATTTTATGCTGTTGCAGAATCTCATCCAGTTTCTGTCTCTTCTTGTAGTTGAAGTAGAAGTTCTTGCACTGGGAGACAGTTTTGGAGCCCACCATCTTGGCAATGGCGGACCAGTTTCGACCATACTGGAGCAGACCTATGGAGTGAAAGTAAAAGAAGGAACATTCTCACTTTACTAATGCAAAAAAAAAGGAAACCGAGCTATGAGTGATAGGCCTATCATCATAGTTATTTCTTTGCATGAGAAACCATGTCACTAACCGCATGACGCAACTAAAACACTTCTCATTTTATTGATACATAGAACAGGAAAAAGGGAAATGAAACCTGGTGAGAGAGACACCAGTATACATTGTATAAAATATTAAATGGATTTTAAACATTTCAGTTTTCATTTTTGTGAATTTTGAGTAAAACTGTGTAAAATAACTGGCAAATTTAGTAATTAATCTACAGTTCAAAAGACTGTGATCAGAAAGAAAATAATACTTTTATTATGTAAAGATGGATTCAATTGATCTAAATTGACAGTAAAGGCATTTATAAAGTTACAAATAATTAAAAAAAGAAAGACTGGCGTAATGGTTGCTGAAAAATCAGCTTTGCCATCACAGGAATAAATTACATTTTAAAATATATTCAAATAGAAAATGAAGCCTTGGTTATCATAAGAAACTTCTTTCAAAAACATTTTTAAAACAATCTCACTGACCCCAATCTTTTGAACAGGAGTGTATGTGTAGGTCTCACATATTTTTTCCCTACCTGGTGTCCCACTAAGTCTTATTCACTCAAAATAGAGCAGCACCAAGGCTGTTACAGTTCAAATAAGATTTATATTGCACACTGTGCAACAGACAATATCTTTCAACACTAACAAACAAACTCCTTGTGTGCCAGTAACGGAAGCCTCAAGCGTTCCCATCCGGCAGCCTTGCGTCTTCATTAAGGAAAACCTCAATAAAAGGTCAAAGTTCATTTGCAGCTTGCCGTCTGAAGAAGGAAAGTGGGGCAGCAACCTGACATGAACTGTTCTCAATCATTTAACACCACGCTAACGCTCACCAGACACCAGCCAAGTCATAGTGTGCTGTTTAGCTTCACATTAGAGACCTATCTTGTCTAGTCTAAATAGTTGCTTTGATTTATATCGCTAGTGACCACAATAAAGCACCGCTGCCGTCCACATCAAAGCTACAATTTAGCTTGGACAGGGACAGGGAAAACATGAGATGGAGAGATAGAATGAAGAGTGTAAGTGCATTGAGCCCAATAAAAAAACGCCATTGGTAAAAAACAAACAAAGCAAAAGCAAGAAATCACTTGAAGTCTGATTTGTTATCCTCACCATCTCTGATCCTTGTTTCATCTGTTTATTCCTTAAACTTCCAGTTGTTTGTCAGAAACACACACACATCCTAACCTACGTAACATGTCAAACACCCACTGACAGTGCAAAGACTGCTCAAATAAAGCCTGCTTAGCAATTCTTACACACACAATCACCCAGAAGTACTTTTACATGGCAGGTCAAAAGTCAAGGAAACTCTTTTACTGCCCAATCCAACAAAGGGCAAAGTTGCAGTTAAATCCAGTGAAAGCCCAATCAACTTCCTGAAATGCATTTGTCCTCCATCTTCAATTTCAAAACACCGGATTTTTTATTCACAACACAATCCGGACCGCCCAATATAAGAGGACTCCAATAAGATGATGCTGTCCAATCAGCTTTGGTAATTCAAGAGCATGTGCCAACGCTGCATCCAATCAAAATCCTCAGCACCGGCCCACTGTGGATCATCCAATCAGGGAGTCGCATAAAGAAAAAATGCGGTCCACTGGTCCACTCTTCTCTATCGCTCCATCAGTCTTTTCATTTCGCCCACATGATCTCCATAGAAATGAACAGCGGAGGCTCTTGGAGCTCCAGCACAGCGTGAGGAAGAGCAAGAATTAAGAGAGAGAAAAAGGGAGTGGTGTTTTGGAGAGAAATGAGCTCCCCATTCCAGCTCTGATAGTTGTGCTGTTGTTTCTCTGATTCTCTGGAAATGCAGCAGCCCTTCTCTTTTTCCTCTCTCTCTCTCGCTTTCTCTCTCTGTCTATTTATCAAACTCACATGCTTTCTCTCGCCAACCCTCTCTCTTTCTGTCTCAAGGCCACAGTTTTTTTCCACTCCTCTTCACTGGCTGCCGCTTGGCTGGACTTTAACAGCAAAGTGAAGCTGAGATGCAGTGACTCCACCTCCCTAATGCCCGTCCTCCCTCCCTCTCTCCCTCCCACCCTCCCTCCACAACCTCATTTGATCTCTTCTATCATTCTGTCTCTTCTACGCTCTCTAATGCATATTATCTGCGCCAAAACGTATCTACGCTCAAACACTAAAGCAAACAGACAATAGGACCAATAGATTGTGGCAGGAATAGAGAGAAAAGGATAGAGATGTGAGAGGTTTGATGTTGATATCATGAGAAAGCAGAGGGAAAGCAATTCCTCCTAACTGACCTGCTTTTCTTCTTCAATGTGACCTCTACATAGAGTCTTTAACAACAGTGTGTGTGTGTGAGAGAGAGAGAGAGAGAGAGAGAGAGAGAGAGAGAGAGAGAGAGAGAGACAGTGAGGCTTGCCAAATCCTCTAATTCGTGCCAACCCACAATTCAGCCACTTCCTTTCTCTCTCCACTCCAACAACCGAATCTAACCACTCACTTGAAGCTACAGAAAGAAACTGAAAGACAGAAAAAAGACAGATAGAAAGATGGTAAGAAACAGATAAAAAGAAAGACAAACAAAACACAAATAGAAATAAAGAGAGAAAGAGAAAGTCAGACTATATATATATATATATATATATATTCTTTATTCACTATATATATACACGAGAGAGAGAGAGAGAGAGAGAGAGAGAGAGAGAGAGAGAGAGAGAGAGAGAGAGAGAGAGAGAGAGAGAACGGAAGGCTGACAGAGACAGAATAAAAGACATAGAGAGAAAGAGACAATCAGAATGACAGTGGCTGACAGAAAAAAAAAAACAGAAAAACGAACACCAAGAGAGAAACAGAAAGAGATAAAAACAAACAGAGGGAAAGACAGACAGGAATAAAAACAGAGAGAGACTGAATAAACAGAATGAAAGTTAGAGACAGAAAAACAGATAGATAAGACAACAAACCCAGCATAAGACACAGGAATAAAGACAGAGAGAAAGAGAGAGAGACAAATAAACAGAGAAAGGAAAACAGAAAAATAGAGCCAGGAGAAAGAACGAAAGAAAGAAAGAAAGAAAGAAAGAAAGAAAAGAAAGAAAGAAAGAAAGAAAGAAAGAAAGAAAGAAAGAAAGAAAGAAAGAAAGAAAGAAAGAAAGAAAGAAAGAAAGAAAGAAAGAAAGAAAGAAAGAAAGAAAGAAAGAACGATCACACTGACTTATTTACAGGAGCGACAACTGGAGCAACTTATTTTCTTTTTATTTACATGCAGATGCAAGTAAAAAACACAAGTAGAATGTCACGTTTGTTTGCTACAGATAAGATGAGCTTATATCCATACTACACAGTATATACATCAGTCCGCAGCTACTGTCTCTAAAGAAAAGCATCTAAAAAAAGACACATGAGGAGGGCTGTGTGCAGTAGCTTTGGGTTATATACCGCTATCCTGCTATGAAGTGCCCTCACAGCCACATACACACTTACTTCCCCTCATTTACTCAGAGACGTGCACGCAAGCGAGGCCACCCTGCCTTTAACAGGCCGTGCCAGCGCGCATTAGTCACAGAGAAGAGCTGCTCTCTCTCTGTGCAGGAATGTAGCAAGACGGCCAGGTGCCATTAACATATATTACTGTTGTCTCTCTCTTTCTCACTTTCACATAAGCATAGAGATAAACACATTAGCATAGAGAGCAGTGAGCTGCTTTATAAAGGACAGACGGGGTATCCGACTGGCATTAAAAGGGTCAAGGGATGAGGGGTGGCAGGATATTTGGGAACAGACTAGAAGATAAAGAGGGGACACTGACGTTAAAAATAACAGCAGCTCTCTGGTGGGAAAGACTGAGGTATAGGCTTTGCTTTGATGGTGATAATGAGAGACATGTTAATGACTGTGTCTATGTTAATGAGAGACACATTGAATCCATTTATAAAAAAAAAAATGAAATAAAGTTGGGGGAAATACATGAATGAATAAATAAAGCATTATGTAAATTAAAAAGTAAGGGTTCTCACCAAAATCATTTATTTAAATATTTAAAATCATAACTAAAAACAAAGAAATTAATTAGTAATTTAATAATTAAATGAACAAACATGGTTCTTGCAATCATTTAAATATTTGAACGAACAAATTCATAATAACATACATAATCCATAAATTAAGGAATGAATGAGTAAATTAGTAAGAATAATATTTATTTATTTATTAATTAAATCAAATAAATAGGGTAAAAATGTTTAGAAATGAAGGACAGATAGAAGAGCGCTCTTCAAAAAAGAAAGTGAATATCTGTAAAACGCAAATCAGATTCTACATTACATAAATTAATACTTGTTGGCATGAAGGCAAGGACAAGTTCTTGTGATTGTAAACAGCAAATCTGATTTGGCTCAGGGGACTTTATCATTAATGAAGTGTTATTAAGTTACAGATCTTGTAAGCCAGAGCAGTGTGAGGCAGGCGGCCCGATGGATCAGATATGTGCCGGTGCCAGAGAAACACAGAGCTGTTAACAGAGTGACGTGGAAGTAGCTCATCTGAAGTAGGTCAGCGGAGCGGCCGTTTAACACACTAACAGTCTACATTACAGTCCAAACACGAACGAGAGAGAAGATTAGACCTTTGCTCTTTACTCAAGCTTTCTTTCCTTTTCCCTCAAATAAAATCCCTCATGAAGGCGTTTCAAGGTCCAGTAACGAAGCTCTGTTTGTTAAACCACGAGTAAATGACATTGATTTTTGAAAGCAGCAGATCTGAACAACCAGCTGTCATGTAAAGACACAGATCCCACATTTAGACACATTAATATGTGCATCACTGAGTGGATGTGTGTGAAATGAGGCCAAGGGCACAGAGTGTGATTTAATGCTCATGTAAATGTTTGTGGAGTTGCTAGGCTGAGTGTAACATGTCTTATCAGGCAGAGTTACATCTAGTTAATTCGACACAGGGAAATCCTAACCGTCAACATCCTATGAAGACAAACAGAAAGCCCATTATGACCTTTTCTAACTTAATTGTATGTGCACAAATGGATCCATCCAGTGGGCATGTTGTCTATTCAATAAACACAGTAGTGACAAAATACACAAACACACAAAATAAGTACTGACCTTTCTTTGCCGTCTCCATCTCCTCTTCAGTCCAGCGAGAGCTTTCGTTCATCTCCAGGTTAGCTAAAATACAAAGAAGAAAGTCTTTATAAGACAAGTCAGCAACCATCTTGTTAACAACCTGAGCAGCTATTTTCTGTTTTGAAATTTCTAACTGCAGCTACCATCTATTTTAATGAGTAGAGATTAAAAAAAAACAAAAAAACAGTTTGTTTCAATAATACATTTCAATCAGCATTTAACAAATCTGAAAATAAAAATAAATAAAATAAAGAATTCATATCCTTACTTAAAATTACTGAAAAATGACCTAAAAAGCATAAACAGTCAAAGGCAGAAACTCAAGGTGAAGCGACCTATTGAAATGACTCAAGCTCTTGTGATGTAAATTAGTAAAGGCCAAGAGCTGGCAGAGGCCGTGTTTAGACCCTCATGCTGAAGTATAGGGCACCTTTTTAATATTTTTAACTGAAACAATCAGCGAAAGTTCAAGAACAGTCTTAGCTAAGCAAGATGAGCCACTCATCTCCAAAAAAGTGAGGGGACAGATACTTTGTACTCAAAAATCGAAGTATTTATACAGTATTTCATTATTAGGATCATTACAGTTCTGTTAAAATGCCCTCACATTTTGGGGAAAATAGAAAAGTGATGTTATAAAACTAAAATGTGACAATGTTGTATGATAAAAGGTTGTGCACGGTTAATTTGCAGAGAACAAAAAGAACTCATTTGAATAAGTGACCTCAAGAGGCCCACTTAAAAAGTCAATGGTATGTGAGTGTGTTTGCGAACCTAGTTCACTGCTGAGAGGTGAAGTGTTCTCTTCCTGCTCGTTGGTCATAGAGCGGGTGACTCGTCCTTTCCGGTGTCCGCGGCTGTTTGCGGTGCGACGGCCTTTAACGGCTACAGGAGGCTCTTTCTCCTCCCCGTCCTCACCAGAGGTGTCATCTCTGCAAGAACAGAAAAAAAAAAATCATTATCAAAGTCACATCCTACATTTTGCTGATGCACTGATTACATTGTTCATTTCATAATCTGCTTCTTGAATTCCATTTAAATATGCGTCACCGATTCATTCAAGAAAAAAACAAAACAAAACTGTAGCAGCACAAAAACCGTAACGCAGCACTGCTGTGTGTTGCTCAGACACGCACAACAGTTCTGCTGTGGCTTTGATTGGAACCATTTTCATTTGCAAATTAGAGCAAAAATAGTCAATGGTGTCTAAAATGTAAGTTACTCAATAATAACCACTGGTTAATTAAAATGTATCAAATAAATTGTATTTGCAATCGTGCATATATTCTGGAAAACAGCACTCTTGGTAGTGTGAAGTTGCTATACTATATTATGTTTAGAGATGCACCGATATGACAATTTTGGCCGATACCGATAACCGATAATTCTTTATATTTGAAAGCCAATAACCGATATTTTGGCTGATAAATCTAAATCCAAATTTTTAGGCAATTTTTGATTTTCCTCATTAAAAGCCAAGATGCAAACAAAATTATGATGTTCTTATTTTAATGTTGTGTAGCCGATATGACAGACTTGCGCTGCACATTTTGCAATTTAACTGGATTTTCCTTTTTTAAAGTGATTTCAATCATATTTCAAGCAATTTAAAAGCATCATGTTGAACAGTGCACATCTAAAGTGCACTGTCCTCAGCTGAAGGACATTATTTATCTGCTTTTAGATATCGGCTAAATGTTCTTGTTGGGCCGATAACAATAACATTAAAAATGATCATATATCGGCCGATACCGATAATGTGGCCGATATATCGTGCACCCCTAATTATGTTATACATATAAAAATGGTTTAGTATGTTTCTATGAGCTACTGTGAGTTTCCTTGCGTTTGCTGTTGAGCTCACTTGTTTTGATTTCTCCACAAGATCTCTCACAAACAAACAGACTGTGTGAGCCTCAACTGGCTTGACCATCTCCATTTACACTAAATGTAATAAAATCAGAATCATTCTCGCTGAAAACTCGCTGAGTCGCAGCCGACATATAGTGCAACTTCACCTCCGGAGACTGATTCCCGGCTCGAGGACCTTTGCCGATCCCATCCTTCTCTCTCTGTATCCCATGCTTTCCTTTCTAATCTCAACGCTTTCATATCTAATAAAGCCATAATAAAAGGCCAACAATTCTGAATTAATAAATAATAAATCATTTGCAGTTGAAATTTTGAGCACCCTCAACAGAAAAATGACACATATATGCACACATATGAACACACTATGCAAATGTTGTCTCTCTAGCAAGTTCATCCCACCTTCAGGAAGTGGCTGTAGGATGAGCAGACCCTCATTTATCTTACCTGTCCTGCACATTATCCATCTTGCAGATACAGTACTAAATATAGGAGCAGCAGCTGTGCCCACAGGTTGAGAATCATGTGGTGGGGAGAGTCAGAGAAAGGCACAGACTCTGCTTAATGTACTGCTTTAAAGTATAGCTGGCGTCCTGTGGTGCATACTGAGGGCTGTGTATTCGGGCCAGTGCTAATGTGCTCTAATCACATCCTACAGCACTGCTGACTGCACAGGTTTAGTTTAGAATAATACACTGTTACCTGTACTTCCCTGGTGTATTTTAATATAGCGTGTGCACCTGTGAATGAACTAGCATTCAGAAACAGCTTATAAAATTAGGCTGAAATGATACAGAATCTGCATCTGTACATAGCTATTCTGTGTCACTGGTCTTTTTATTATTTATTACTCTAAAACATATTCAATTTAAATAGATCTTAATACATATATATTATACGTATATACACAATATATATTTATTATTATTTCTGACAGTTTACTTGATTACTTGAAAACTTTCACTGGTATTGACTATTGAAATTTCTGTATCAAGACTACAGTTCTAACCTAGAGACTGTGACACGCAAACGCCTCAAAAGAGCTCTGAATCAGAGGACTTTAGCACCAGCGTTGAGTGGCAAGTCAGCAGAATGCTTTTTCCACCTGCGGTTATGTAACTGTGCCTTCTCTGTTTAAGCTGAATCACAGAGAAAAACAAGCTGTAAGGCCACAGTTTCAGAGGATTCGATGAGAGAAAACGCAAAGAGAAAAGAAAAAAAAAAAAACAGCTGACAGACTGATGTGAGATGAGAGGAAAAGAAAACCAGTAAAAGAGAGAAAAATACTCACTTCATGCCATCCTCTTTTTCCTCTCCTTCTGCTTTTTCCTCCTCGCGTTCTCCCTCCTTTTCCTTCTCTTTCTCTTTCTCCTTTTCTTTTTCTTCTTTCTCCTCCTGGTTGTTGCGGTTCACCTGTTGCTGGGTCTGTTGGTTATTCTGTAAGCACAGCCAATCAAAAAAAGACATAAAAAACATTGCTTCCTCTCAAAAAAACATCTATCTCCTATTTGAAGGCATTAATGAACATAACATCCTGAATATGTCCATTCAA